GTCCCAGACGTTAAGGTGGTCGAGAAGATTTTCATAACTCTAACTGAGAAGTTCACGTACGTGATGGTATCCATCGAAGAATCCAAGGATGTGGAGACAATTTCTATTGATGAACTACAAAGCTCACTTGTAGTTCATGAACATAAATTCAAGAAACCATACCATCGAGATGATCTAGGCATGGGAATGGGCCGGGGACCTCAATCCCGGTCCCCGACCCCGATTACTTATCTCTATCCCCGTCCCCATCCCCATTCCCACCAGGGAATATAATCACATCCCCATCCCCAACAGGGATCCCCCAACAGGGAAACGGGGATTTTTTTCCGTTTATATAAGTTATTTTAAATTAAATATGTGAAAGACCATACATGTTTAAATCTCAAACATTTTCAATTAATCTAAAACCAAAATGAATCTAATTTAATACAAAAAAACCACAACATCATATAAGATCTAATAACCTAAAACAAAAACAAAAAAACTTAAATTCACATGTACCAAAAGATATTGAGTAATATACAAAACTTATTGAGTAATTGCATTTAGACTTGACATCCAAAATACTACATACTAACATCCAAAAAATAACAATTTTAGATTATAAACCTAGTTAGGAAATAAAAATTATGAACCACCGCTTTAGTTGAAATAAATAATATACATATATATAATTTATTAATTAATATATATATATATATATATATATATATAACGGGTACGGGGCGGGGAGTACCATACCCGTCCCCATCCCCGTTTTGAGACAAACGGGGATTCCCGTCCCCATCCCCGATTTAGTGGGGAATCCCCGTCCCCGACTGGGGCGGGTGGACCGGGTTCCCCGACGGGTCGGGGCCCATTCCCATGCCTAAGATGATCAAGTACTGAAGAGGCTGTGACAGAGGAAGATCCAATTGGAGCGGAAGATCCAATTGGAGAGGAAGAGGCCGTGGTCAAGGAAGATATTCGTACAGCAAAGCCACTGGGGAGTGCTACAATTGCCAAAAACTTGGGCATCTTCGGTATTAGTGTCCAAAGTGGGATGAAGAAGCGAATTATGCAGATTACGAAAAGTGTGAAGAAGTACTACTTATGGCATACGTCAAGGAACACGAAACCAAGAGGAACAATGTCTGGTTCCTTGATTTGGGATGTTTAAATCATATGAGTGGTGACAAAAGCCTCTTCTCAAGCATAGATGACAACTTCAAACATTCAGTCAAGTTGGTAAACAACTCTAGGATGACAGTTGCAGGCAAAGGAAGTGTTAGATCGACACTAAATGGTGCAGTGTACTTGGTTAATGAAGTATATAATGTCTTAGATCTCACTAATAAGCTGCTAAGTGTGGGACAACTCCTGGTGATTCTCATTCAGGATGGAGAGTGCAAGATTTATTGCAAAGATTAAGGAATGATAGTTCAATGTTTGATGAGCACCAACAGAATGTTCGTACTATATGACCCACCTGTGAGCAGCCCCCCATCTCTGCATAAGCAATGTCTTTACACAAGCACATAAAATATGGCTCAACTATGGCATTAACGATAAGGTCATCTAAAGTCACAAAGGCATGAAGATCCTGCAAATCAAGAATATGGTACGTGGGTTACTTAAGTTTGAGACAAAAACTTACACTTGCAATTGCTTGATTAGGAAGCAACCAAGGAATGCAATTCCGTTAAAGAGCACATGGATAGCAAAGAGAGATTGGAACTAATTCATTCGGACATCTGTTGATCAATCAGTCCCACTTCAAATAATGGTAAGAAATATATCATGTGCTTTATAGATGATTTTAGTCGAAAATAGTGGGAATATTTTCTTGCAGAAAATCGAGAAGCATTCAATTGCTTCAAGCTGTTCAAGAAAAAGGTTGAGACTGAAACAGGAAACGTTATTAAGTGTTTGAAGACTGATAGTGGAGGAAAGTACACCTTGCATCTATCTGTAACTTCTTGCGAAGAGCATGGCATACATAGGCAACTTATTAATGCCTACACACCCCAACAAAACAGTATCGCAGAGAGGAAGAACTGAAGGGTCATGAACATGGTAAGGTCGACGTTAGCAGCGAAGAGGGTACCAAAATCATTTTGGCCTGAAGCTGTAAATTGGTCCTACATCCTCAATAGATGTTCTACTTTGGCGGTGAAGAATCTTACTCTACAAGAAGCATGGTGTCCCAAACATGGAACACTTCATAATATGGGGATGTATTGCAGACGTACAAGCACCAGACACAAGGAGAGGTAAACTAGATGACAAAAGTTTTGAATGTATTTTACTTGGTTTCAGTGAAAATCAAAGGGGTACAGGTTACATGACGAGAAGTAAGAAAGGTGAGATCAGTTGAGATCATCACCAGAAATCTCAGAATGAAGAAACCTTATTTATAAAGAAAGCTGCTGGGTCACTGATAATTTGTTGATGACTCTCCGATCTCTTTTGTAAATGCTTAACGTTTGTACTATGAAAACAGATCCATGACCTCCAGTGGACCAAGTGTTGATTTTGATATCTCATATCAAGTCTATGTGAAGGAACAATAATATAAATAACACCTTGCATGCTTACATAATAGTCTACTGAAAGGTATCTCCAAACAGAAGATTACAACAACTTAAACAACACAAGTTTCAACATTATACTTGCACACCTTAGATCCTATTTGCAGTCTCCAGGGTCCTTTCTTTTATGTCCATTTCACTCGTTTACCATTTTCATTTTATGGATCCTACTTCCGTATGCTGACAAGTAAATTGAGGCCCAAAAATGAAGACGACAAATAAAGGGAAACAGGCTAAACAAAAGGACCCTTGGATTTACATATTTAACAACAGATTTAGGAGTCTTACCAAATTCAGGATTCATTTTCTACTCGTCATTTTCAGCTTCCCCCTCCCCCTCCACATCATCGTCATCGTCGTCGTCACCAATATCATCATTACCATCATCATCATCATCATCATCATCATCTTCATCATCATCATCATCAAGATCATCGCTAGTATCATCATCATCATCATCATCAAGATCATCGCCAGTATCATCATCAGTCATGTTTTCATCTTCTTGAGATATCCATTGCTCGAGTTCATCAACTTCATCAAAATCATGCATGTAAATATCATCCAAATTATCCCACTTATCAGTCCCGAGCTCCTCCCCACGAGTCATCAAGTGCAAGAACGGTCTATCAACTGCCAATGAGTCGACTAACTCATGGTTCAGGGATCCAGCCACTCCCAACCACCTCAAACCAGGGAAATAAGGCCTCTTAAGCCACTGGAAAGAGAGTTTGGAAATCCCACCACAGTTGAATATATCCAACGATCTCAAGCTACTACCATGCCACCTGTCCCCATCAGCCATGGTCATTGATGCTAATGCCATCACCGACATGTCACCAATAAGAGGACAATGTCGCATTCGGAGGTCAACAAGCGGAATCCGGTTCTTTACAAGCAAAAGCACGCCAGCATTGGTGAGGTCAGACAGATTAGACAAGTCCAATTCACGTAATTCTCTGTTGGACCCACCGTTGAAAAGAGAAGAAATGCACTTGCATGTGAGCCTCTTGCACCCTCTGATGGATAATTTAACAAGACTGCTTTTTGCACCCTTTCTCAAGTATGACAAGCCCACATCGCTTACATCTGTTCCATCTAATAGCAAAGTTCTCAGTTTTGGAAGTTTGCTGATGGCTTGAAGGGCTTTATCACCAATATTTCTAGAATCTCGGAAGTCAAGCATGATGAGATCCATATTTAACGCCAATTGCAGCACAGCGGAATCCGTTAAGAGGTTACAGCATCTTAAGCTTACCAGGGTCAGAGCCAGGGAAGTCGCATACATGTCAAGGAACACGAGATCGGTCATTCGGGTGCCATTGAAAACCTTTAGCTTGTATAGGTTTGTGCAAGCATGTAGGAGCGTTTTGAACCCGGTATCTGTGACCTGACAAAAACCACCAAGACATATGGCTTCCATATTTGTACATCTGTCAGCCATGAAGAGGATGCCTTGATCAGTAACTCTTCTGAAGAATGTTGGATTAAACTCCTGGCTACGAATAAGTGAAAGGTGTTTTAATCTCCCATGTTGGTTAATCAGCTGAAGACCTTCGTCAGTAAGGTCAAATGCAACTCCAGGTTCAATGATGGGTTGATCTCGAAGATCCAAATGGGTTAAATGGATCAGATTATGTGATATTATGCTGATCATGGTGTTAGAAATGTAGTCCACAGAGAGGCCAAGTTTCTGGATATTAGGAAATACGGGAGGGACAATATGATTTGGTGACTGATTCGGTGCTACAGTTGGACTCAGCAGCTCCGTAACCATCAATTGAGTTATGTAGCCAAACTGAAGACAAGTGAGTTTTGCAGAAGCCAAATTCCAGACACGAGCAAAATCAGGACGACGGAATATCGAGACATCAAACATCAAGACAAGTTCCTGGGAGAAAAAGAATGTTTCAAACAACACATTAAACAAAGGGGATAGAATAAAAAGACCGTCAATTAAAATGTATCCAGAAAAGGGAAAAATCCAAAAACAGACTTCAATTCCAAGTAAATGCACTACTTTCGGTGCATCATCTATACTGAGAAACTCGGTACAAATAAATAAACATAAGAGTAAAGTAAAATTTTGATACTTGGACTTGCTATCTATCTTAAGGTTTTAACCATGGTATTTCTTTGTGCACTTACAGTCTAAAACCTAGATAGTTCATACTAATCAAGTCTAAAACCAAGCTAATTCATAATAATAGAGTGCCTTACGCCTTTACCCTAACGCCATTAGTTGGATCCACTGAATTTAATATGTGCTTAGCACATGACAATATAAAAGGGTAAAATTGTCAAACTAACTCTATCTTTATCATCTTCATTCTATTCTTCTTTCTTCACCATCATTTTTTAAATACTGAATCAAAATATAAATACGATAAAGAAAAAACTCATTTACTACTTGAAACTTCTTTACAGATTCAAACTCAAGAAAAACTAGGAACAGAATGATGAATTAAAAATGGAAAAAAAGATCGAAAGCCAAATCCAAATCAAAACCTAGACCCTGACAACGAAACCCAGATGAATATCCTAGTTTTCTTCCTTCCATCATCACTTGTTACTTTTTCTTCTTCTTTCTAGTCAGCAACCAGATAATGGGTTGGAGAGGTGAGGGATAAGACCGTAGACACGGTCATGGTTTTGAAATCCACATTACCTATTAGGAACTTGAAACTTTCAATTCGGTAAAACTCAAAATTAGGGCAAAATTTTGGTGGGATAAGCAAATTCCCATATGCAAAAAACTGAGATAGTTGCTCATAATTCATTGTTTTTGGTGAAGATAAATTGGGTGAAAGAACCTACACCAGAGAAGAAACAAACAGGATCACGATTTTTGGACTTCGTGATATTAGCACCGATAGATTCAGCTACACTGGAATAATCATGAAAAAGGCCTCACCCTGCACAAGCACCCTGTAGGTACAGGGGGTCGCCCACATGTCATGTTCGGGGAGGCCTCTTCGTTGAGCTTTATTCATCATGTGTGATACTTAAAATACTACTACCCCTATATAACAATAATACTAAGAAGTAAAATATATTTCTTTTCTAATCAATAACTTAATTCAAGAGGGCCTACATGGCATTGATAACAAAGCATGCACCTTCATTTATAGTTTCCATCCCAGATAAAAACTGACTAGGAACTAGTTTCCTTTTTTATTGTATTCTTTTTAACCTATAGTAGCATTATAAATACGACCAACCCTCTACAGAGATAGCGAAGTAAAAGAGTTGCAACATGCCAGCCAAAGAATATACTCTCTCGGTGTATATGCACATCATGGTGATAGATATGTTACATAGTGAGTACATTTTTGAAAAGGAAGCCTTTATGATTTACAAAGTAAATCAAACACTTTGATGAAATAAAATGATCTAGAGAATAACATCACCTCCAATAAATAATTGCATCGATCTAACATATAAATTAATGGAAGTACTCCTAATGCAGTAGTTTATCTTTTCAACCAGAGCTTTAGGGGACAATGCATAATCAACAAGATCCACTAATAAACCTCTATTCACCGAGTGAGATACTTAAATGCTACCAACTTATAATACAAAAATATTAGTAAAGAAATAAAATAAGATCATTGCTTTACAACTAAGAGCTTAAGGTATGAGACAACTTCATGGTATACTGGTATTAGTATATAAGCGTATGCCTTCTATTACTCCCTCCCTTCCATATGAGAACCAAATAGGGACCGATTTCCTTCCACTGTTTTCTTTTTACCTGTAGCATTATAAATTAGACCTACCCTCTACAGAGACAGCAAAGGTAAAAAGCTTGCAACATGTCAGCTAAAAAAGAGACTTCCTCTTAATTTATATTTACATTACTGAGTAGAGGTTGAATGGAGTTAATACACCATTACGACAGTCAGATTTTTGAAAAGGAGGCCTCTATTATTTCATTTAGCAAACAATCAAACACTTCTATGGAGGTAACATGATCTAAACAACAACTTCATTTACAATAAGAATTTGCGACAACCTAATATACTAATGGAAAAACTCCTAACGCTATTTGCTTTTAAGCTGTAGCTTTAGGAGACCATGCATCATTTAGGTAGTGTTTGGTATACAGACATGATTGGAAAGGACTGGACAGGACAGAACTGGACAGGACAGAACTAGACAGGACAAGAGGGTAGGACTGGACAAAACAAGTGTATGCCTGGTGTTTGGTACGACTATGACTGGACAGGACAGAACTAGACAAGTTACCTCCAAAAGTTGTTTGATGATTTTTAATATTATATAATATTTATAATTAACACAAATAAAGTAAATAAATGATTTAATTTATAAATATTTTTACACAATTTTCATATAAATGAATACATACATACATACATATATATAATGGTACCAAGTTTGAATGAAAAATTTGATATAATTGATGATAGTAATAGTGGTGGTGGAGGTAGTAGTGGTGGTGGAGGTGGTGGTGGCCGAAGGTAGTAGTGACGATGGGTGGTGGTGGTCGGTGGCCGATGGTGGTTGGTGGACGACATTGGTTATAGAGGACGTGAAGATGGTGGATTGTGGTGGTGGTGGTGGCGGTCGACAACGGTAGAGAAGGTAGTTGTGCTTGTGGCTGATGTAGTGAAGATAGTGGTGGTGGTGGTGGTTATAGTGGAGGTGAGGTGGCAATGAATGGTGGTGGTCGATGGTCGACGGTGGTTGTGGAGGAGGTTGTTGCAGTAGAGGAGGGGTTGGAGGTGGCCAATGGTGGTAGTGGTGGTGGCAACGAATGGTGGTGGTCGATGGTCAACAGTGGTTGTGGAGGTCATGAGGTTGTTGCGGTATAAGGGAGTTCGAGGTGGCCAATGGTGGTAGTGTTGGTGGTAATGGATGGTGGTTGTAAAGGTGGCAATGGACGGTGGTAATCGGTGGTTGTGAAGGTGGTGAAGGAGGTTGTTGTAGTAGAGGAGGAGTTGGAGATGGCAAACGGCGGCAGTGGTGGTGGCAATGGACGGTGGTGGTCGGTTGTCGACTATGGTAGAGGTGGTGGTGGACGGTGGTTGTGAAGGCGATGGAGGATGTTATTGTAGTGGAAGAGGAGGTGCAGGTGACCATCGGTGGCGGCGGCGGCGGCGGCCGAAACTAGCGGTGAAAACAAATACCATATTAAGGTTATATATCAAACTAGGGTAGATTAGTAATATTTTAGTTTATGTCTTATTTATGTCCCATTGATATGAATCAATTGGCAAAATCAAGATTAGCGGCCAAAAGTACCACTAATCGGATGCTTATTAAAATAAACCCTGGAATTCGAGACCCAGTAATCTCCAATGTCTACGACAAGAATCAAAATACTAGAATGCCTGCAAACAATGGGGTGGTCGGTCCCTTAAATAAGCCGTACCCTAATCCTCCAAAATAGGAAAACATACTTATCCTAAGAAACTAGTTAATAACTTCCCTAATCAACTAATTAATTCCTAATCAACTAATTAAGAATAAGAAAATTGCAAACTGCCCCCCTCTACTTGTTTCCTGCCTCTCTTTTGTGACGCTTATATATCTGACCCCAATGTGGGTCGGGCTGAGACGTATCACCCATCCTGTTCCACCTATTTTGGCAGAACAAGAAAAAGCCTCTTTTGTTCCATGTTGTCCCACCTTGTCCCAGTTCTTATCCCTGTCCCATGTCACGCCAAACGTGGGACAGTGAGTTCTTGTTTTGTCCCATGCTACGCCAAACCCTAAACATGCTACGACAAAAATCCACCAAAATCCATTATGCTGGCTCTAAGATGCATGCTATGCGAGAGGATTTACCCCACAAATATTTGACACTTGAGTTGATCAAAATACTATTACTATCTGCACTTATTTAGCTTCAAGAAAAGAAAGAAAAGTAATTAAGAGAAAAGATCTGCAACGAGCTTAATAACCATGTGTCTATAAAATAATAGGGTGTTCAGAGAAATGATTTTTTCCCAAGTAAAATACAAGGGCATAGTAACCCCACATGGAAACAAGCACCAAGGATAGAAAAATATGGAACTAATAAATGAAATCTGGGGCTATCTACATACAAAGGTACATAGCAAATAAAGCAGTGACATTGAACTTTTTAATGTGGGAATGATTAGTCTCACTAGTTGAGCAGCTGATTCAAGGGATATTAGGTTAAAGTATTTGGAGGACTCTGAAAATAAACCTCAATTTACCTTAAGAACGATAGCCAGCTTCACAACAGAAGTGACAGAGAAAATATTTGAAGAAAAATTCTAGACATCCCACCGTCCAACAAGGTTGGTAGGTTTTTGTAATTTGGAGACAAAACATTGGTCTTAGATTTTTCAATGACGAAAGCTAGAAATGATTAATTAAACTTGTTTGCTGATTTTAACAAATGCAGCTTATTACTATATAGTACAAATTTGTTGTGATGCCCAGCAGTTCTAGTCTAGGATTTGAGGTTATGTAATTGATTGGATTTGTAGAGGAAAGACAACAGCAAACAGAAGTCTTTCTCAAGCACAGATTTTCAACTTCTATCGCTGTGTGATACCAGTAACAGTGTACTTTAAACTCCAATCGCTATCCTTAGTGGAAAGAAAAAAGGAATGTAGACATCCCATGTTAATACGAGTATGTCAAAGCAAACAAAAATAGTTATTCATGTTTTTTGCATATCAGAGGGATTGGACCTTGGAGATGCCTATTTATTTCCCATCATGTGAACACCAAATGCAACCATTTTAACAAGTCTGCTATTTTCATCCATTTAAGAAACCACTTTGGTAATAAAATCTTACTTCCAATTGAGTGCAACCCCTGAGTAACCCCTCTAGATCACAGACATCATGTAATTGTCCTCGATTATCAGCCACAGAACTCACAAACAGAGACCTGGAGAACACGTAATTAATGCTGCTAATTAATTGCAGATACTGAGAACTTTAATTGTCACACATATTCAGATACTGTAGGATCTAGCATATGACATAAAATGGAAAGCTTACAGATGGCCATAAATCAAAAGCTAAAGAAAGATATTTACGGCAATCTCTACCATGTGTTCAAGTCTAATAAGATAGTCTACACTACAAGGTGCAAGAAAACATTCAGGCACAAACAAAATAGCGGGCTATTACACCTCATCACATAACAGAGCATTTCCAATATACATATATCTCCATCAATATGTTTCTCTTCGGTTAGAATTCTCTCTCCTGAAAGATTTAAGGTATTGTACTCCCTTCATGTCAACTCAGAGGTAAATATCACTGTAAGGTCAAACAAATTAGTTCTAAAATTCAGTGGCAGAACACAGGCCTTATAACCTATGGGGCCGAAACAGACCTGTTACTCCATATAGTGCATAAATGTTATATACTGAAATATTTTTACTTCTTGATTTATATTTATACTTTGTTTTCATTATGTTAATTAATAGTAAGTAGGCCTTATTATAAAACTAATTATGTATATGAGACTGTTATATTGTTATCTTAAATCCGGTATTATTTTCGTCCTAACTCGTAACCCAATGTCATTCAGATAACATATTTTTTGGTTTTCAAATCCACTTCTTCTAGTTTATTTAAAAAGGAGATTTTAAATACGTAGTTATCATAGAATATGAAAATCGTTGAGGGGATCCGGTTTAACAAGAAACTAGTATACCGTTTTGGCATTTTAAAATTAGATTTCATACGGATTGCCCTTTTACCAAAGCTTATTATGTTGTTTGCAGTCGTTTCATCTCATCTAGTTTAATTATTTATTCCTCGTATTCTAATCTCAATCCATTATTACATGGTATCCTAAGCCTTGTATTAACACTTTTTTAGTTTAACAAATATATTACTTTAATTCATCGTCTGTTAATAATATTTTATTAGCTTTATTATTCTAAAAAATTTATTTGATCATTATATCATTAAACTTTAGTTCTACATATTTCATAAAATATTTTACGGTCCATATTTTATATTTAGTTATAAAAGTAATATTTTATAGTTCTAAATCTCGTTATTTAATCGTTTTAAATAAAACAAATAGCTATCTGAGTTGAGATGTTATAATGCATATGAAGAGCCTACAAAAATATCTGGGTTCCTAGTCTTGAAAATACTTGAAATGGTTATATATTAGTATTTATTTATTTTATAAATTTTAAGATAACATGTAATAGTATATTACTATTAAAAGTAATAAAATAAGTCCTGGAGCATGAACAATGGCGTAGAGTTATAAAAATTAGTAAAATGTATCAGGAAGGAAGAAAAACAGGGGGGGCATGGCCCTCATAGCCCCTCTTACCCTCCGCCACTGCTCAAATTCAATTTTATTTGGAATTTTGTTACAAATAAAACATGCTGTTCCGTTGGTAATATGTCTAGAAAGTTTGTTTATAAATGTATTATCTAAAAATCAAACAATTCAGGTCAATTTTGAAAATGAAAACTAGTTTGTTTGACCTTAAAAGTCAAACTCTACCTCTTTCAGTCATGGATTAACCTCTTTGCTTGGGAACGGGAGGGTAATCTGGATATGTTGTCAAATTAAGACGACACGTTAATTAATACAAGCCTCAATAAGAATGAACATCATAAATTTCCAGCATCAAAAATCTTATCTCTGTCTATTAAGTTACACATCGAGGAATGAATGAGAAATGAGAGGAGTAGTAGTGAACCATAGGCCACATAATATACTTACCAAATTCTTGGGGCAAAAGGAGCGATCTGTATACGATCGTTGATAGATCGGACTATATACGAACTATACAGGTTCGGATAGCAATACCTATAAAAATATAACTTGCGCAAGTAGAAAACCTAATTTCTAGCGAATCAAGTAGAGTTACACATTTAAACATGAAATTATATCAGAAAGAAGTAGGAAACAACCTTAAGTCTTTGCACCGTGCTCCGACCTCAGCAAGAAGCCTCCCGCTAAATCTGAAGCAATTCCGAAGCGACAGTTCAAGCAAGCCAGGCTGAAGAAGATAATCGATCGAAGATTCATTCATCCTCCTGCAATCTAGCTTTAGGCTTCGCAGCGAAGCGTTGGGCAGCAACAATCGCCGTAATCGATCAATCGGTGCGGCAATTTCCTGTACAAACACATTTTTTCCAAAAAGAAAAATCAATCAACCAGAGTGAAGATAGAAGCAAAATCATCAAATAAAAATGTTTCATGAACACTAGTAGTATTACAGTATTACCATCAACGCTGCAATTTCCTTTTTCTACCAACGAAATAACAGTTATTTCACAAATTAATGAAATTGAAGATGCATGCACTCATTTAAACACATAAGTTCATTACGAGGAGGTGGAAATTCGGAAGGAATTTGAAGATCTCTTGAGAGCAAACACGAAAGCTTTTGCAAGTGACGGAGATGGCGCATATCGAAGAAACATCAAGTTTGGTCATAATTGTTGCGAGAACTTCCGACGATAGTCTATCGAGGCTGATTTCTCCACCGTTGTCTTGTGCCGGCGCTTTGTCCTTCATTTTCACCCTCCGAACGGAGGATTCCGCCATTTTACGTTCTCTCTCTCACACACAGACACTGTATCTTCGGCTCAAAATCAGGCAAGCGGAAGGGATTTAGGACAGATCCTCAATCGGATATAAAAACATTTCATCAAAGTTTGAGAAAGCAACCGGATATATTGCGTGTAGGTGTGTATATATATATATATGCCTCTATTTTCTGGACATCTTTTTTATTTATTTTTATACACATTTATTTTATTTATTATAATATATGTTTTATGTATATTGTATCATATTTGTATATTTCATTTAATGAATTAAATTGAATCAAGGCAATAAAAATATTTTTAACAGATTTTTAAAATAAAAAATAGATATTTTTAAGATTTTAAATATGTTTTTTGTTTTAACAGATTCTTCAAAACATTTCTTTAAAATGGAAAAAGTAGAAGAGATAGTCTAAAACTTTTTCCATTAAGGGGTCGTTTACTAAATACTTATCCGGTAAGTGTTGATTGGATAACTTTCCTCACCTGATGCCCATAGCAAAGATCGAAAATCTTACTTGATAAGAGCGATGATAATGATATCGAGTCTTACCCGGTAAGTGATGGTGAGGACTCTTACCCGTGTAAGCGTTTAATGGGTAAATTGTTGCATACGACACCATTTTAATATACTACAATCTTATCTTATAAAATAGATTATGGTGTTGACTCCTACCGAAAAACGCTTACCAGGTAAGTATTTAGGTAAACGACCCCTAAGTTTTTTTATAATTTTTCTAAATAGAAAACCAAAAATCAAAATCTCTAAATAAAGTTACATCTAACTCCATCGAGTTCTCTATTTCAAAGATTACAAGATTACAACAGTAATTATGTTATTAAGATATTATATAGTTTTACCAGTTCAATGCACTTTTTAAAAAAAAAACTTCAAATAAAATGATAATAGTTTAACGTTATTGGTGGAAATTTATTAAAAAATAATTTCTTTCACCTTTCATCAAGTTTTAGAGAATTTTTTAAATTTGGAATTTTTTTTTTTCTTGTTTTCTTTATTTTAGAACATTTCCAAGAGATACATATAATTTCTTTAAAATAGAGAATTAAAAGTCAAAATCTCTAAAATAAATTACATCTTACTCTAACAAAATCTATATTTTAAATATTTCATCATTAATTGTATTATTTCAATATTCAATTATTTTATAATCCAATACACTATAAAAAAAAAATTATATTAAATAATAATAATTCAACTTCATTGATAGAATGAATAAAAAAAACTCATTTCTCTCTCCTTTGGGAATTTTTTTAGAGAATTATCTATATTTTGAGTTTTCTCTGTATTTCTCCATTTTAGAGCATTTCTAACACATTTTCTAAAATGGAAAAAGAAAAGGCCAAAATCTCCGCACACAAAAAATTGCATTCATCTCCAATGGATTCTTTATTTTGGAGATCATACAATTAATTATATCATTAAAATATTTAAGACAACATATAAAATATTATTTCTCTCATAAATAATCATTTTTTAATAAATCTCCAAATTTGAAATTTTCATCCTCTCCTCATACTTCTCCATTTTGGAAAAGGTTTTAGGGAATCTATTTGAGCAAAAATCCTCAAAATCTCTATTTTGGAGAACCTGGGGAATCTGTTAGAGAACAAGATAGAGAATATATTGAATTATTATAGAAATAAAAACTCCATTTTCTCTATTTTTAGAGAATGTGGGAGATGCTCTTATAAAACACTTTAGAGAAACTGTTGAGCAAAATAGAGAACAAAATATATATTTTCTATGTCTTTGATAATCTATTGGAGATGCTCTATAAATCTCCAAATTTGGAGAATAGGCCAAATATGAAATTATTACAATAAGAGAGAAATATTATTTGATATATTTTCACCGATAAGAAACTTTGAAAATAAATATTTATATAGAAAAATATATTTTATTAGATGAAAAGAATATAAATTTTATTAATATAATCAATTTTGTAATCTCTAAAATGGAGAATCTGTTGTAGTTGAATGTGTTTTTGTTTTAAATATTTTAAAGTTTCATTTTCCATTTTGAAGAATCCGTTGGAGATACTCTAAAAGTCGTTTATTCGTCACTTTACCTTTTTAGATTAACATAATAAAGATTGAGAATCTTACTCAATAAGAGTAATTATAAGGAGGGAGAGTTTTACCCAATAAGTGATAGTGATGACTCTTACTAGGTAAGCATTTATCTTATAAAAATGTTGCATATGATGTCGTTTTAATGGACTAAAATCCTACTCGGTAAGTTAATCAATTTGCAAGATGACGAAAAGTTCCAAGATCATATATGATTACACGTGATATGTACGTTTAATCATATACGATTAAACACGCCCAAAGGAGACGAATGTGACTTGGTGAAGCTATGTGTTGTCAATGCAGCATGTGTTTAATCATATATGATTAAACGTACGTATTATGCATATAATCATATATGATATTGAAATTTCTCATCTTTCCGTACATTCACCACATTCTTATTTGAATCTGACCCTATAATTATAATATATATATATTACCTTATAGAGGCACGTTCAAATGAAAACCGTGCAATTCTTAGAAACCGTGTAAACTAATTTCGACCAATAGGAAAATTCTATTTTTTTAATTAAATTTAATCATTAAGGATATATTGGTCATTTGCATTGTTTTCAATTAAATATGAAACTTATTAATAAATCTTAATTAAGGTAACATAATAAAAGAAATTTTATAAATGGTAACATTTAAATGTTTAATTAAACTATAATATTAAAAATTGGATTTTGTTATATTGTGCCTCGGTTTATTATTGTCAGTATTCATGAAAATCTTAAGTTATTATATTTATAAATCCATAAAATCAGTAATAGAATAAAAAAAATATTCATGAAACCGGTTTCATACATGGTGAAATTGGTGCATGGAATAAGTGAAAATGATTATGGAATGGGTGCATGATGAAACTGGTTTCATACATGGTGAAATTGGTGCATGRAGTAAGTGAAAATGATTATGAAATGAGTGCATGATGAAATGGGTATAACATGAAATTGGTGCACCATGAAATGGATGCATGATGATATGGGTGCGTAAAGGAAGTGAAACCATTTCAGAAAATATAAGAAAAAGCATGGGTAATTAGCGAAAAGTGAAGCAATTTCATTATCAATAACGTGAAATGACAAATGATTCATCAAACTATGCTGGCCGATGAAATGGGTGATTGAAGAAAGTGAAACCATTTCATGGTTTCTAAGAAAATTTTGTGTAATTAGTGAATAATGAAACAATTTCATTATCAAAATGAAATAGATCCATCTACCAATAACATGAAAATGACAAAATCTGATCAGAATTACGTTGATTAGTGTATTGATGAAACTGTGAAACCATTTCGTTCATGTAATGTAGTACAATTTTTTTTCTATTCAAAATGATTCATTATGTAGAATTGACTATGGTGTGTTTTATTTATATCTTTGATATATTCTAATGATGAATGTTATTTTAAAAAATGTGAACGTAAAAATAATATATTACTTTACAAAATAATTTTGTTTTATTAATAATATGATATATAGGATATTGTTGCCTTGATTAGAAAATAATATGAATTCATTGTATTTAAAGGCATGGATATATATATTTTTTTAAATTTCCTAAAATAAATTTTTTAATATATTTTTTTAAATTTCCTAAAATAAAAGTGGTTGTGTTTACCATTTTGTTCTTCTCGCTATTATAAAATAAATTTTTTAATATATATATATATTTTTAATTTCTTAAAATAAACTAAACTAATCTTGATTATTGATTAAAAAAAATGGATAGATGAGATTGATTTACATGATTTATATAAATGAGAGCAGTTTTCATTTGATCGCTTCTCTTATCTTATATACATAATATTATATATTATTATATTTGACATAATCAAATAATAACTCTATAGAAATCGCGACATCCGTAGGATGCAATATACATAAATCACTTGTGATAGTTAATTTTATTTCTTAAATAAAATAAAAGGATAATTTAATAATAAAAAAATTAACAACTCATCAAAATATTTAATTAAATTTATCTTCCTATTATTTTAGAAAACTCATTAATCTTATTATTTTAGAAATCTACTTAATTAAATTTATTTTTTCCAATTATGTTATTGAAGTTCTTGTTTATGTTTTCCAAAATTTGGATAATGTTTTTGGTGTTTTTATGTTTTGAATCAGGATTTCTACGAAAATCAGATATTTGTGTACCAAAACGCTAGAATTTATAAGATGTTCACAATGATTCAAAATGTGTTGATAAGGTGTTTACAATGTGTTCATAATGAAAATCTTGTGATTCCAATTGAGAGTTTTGGTGTTCAGTATGTTCAAGTATAACATGTGTTCACAAATTTAAAAAACGTGCTGTCGAATTCTTTAATATGCTCGTCAAATTCTTTTAGTTGGAGATGAGGAAAAAAAATAGAAAAGGGAGGAGAGAGAAGATTTGCCTTAATTCAATTTATTTAGTCAAAATTACTGTTATATTAACTCTTGTTTTAATATTATTTGTAGTTGAGATTAATTTTTACGAATCTCACAAGATATTTGATTCTCACGAATGACCATATATATATATATATATATGTGTGTGTGTGTGTGTGTGTGTGTGTGTGTGGTGTGTGTGGTCACGTTAAGTAGATGAAAACCCACAAATAACATATGAAAATGATATTAATATGGATGTCAAATTAACGCAGGAAAATATATGATCTTTTTTGTGTAATTTATTCCGCTCAAAATTTGTTTATTTTTTGAATAAAAATTAGGGGGTGAATTTTTTAATTAAAAAATATTGTTGTAACCGTTCATTTAATCACATCCATCAGATCAATTAATCTCATGGTTAAATAAGGTGTTATCTAGTTTTTCATTTTTTAGAGTTTTCCTCTGAACCTTTCCGTATATATGTAACACCCAGAATTTTGGAATAAAATTGTTTAGTTTGTTGATCAAGCCTTAATTGAGATTACACTCTTTATTAGATTCTTATGACTACTTTCTGGAATTTTGAACTCATCTTTGTGATTTGACTTTAAAATGGACATTGGCTGAAGCATTTAACGCCTCATCAGGTGTCATGTGACCCTTATGTTGCGATCCTTGCATCGCAAGGGTAGGATCGCACTTCACGTGCCGTAAGTGGAGGATTGTGACCCTTGTAGTTGCGATCTTTGCACCATAAAACCACCGTCGCATTTCTCGTACCGTAAGTTTAGTCAGGGTAGAGGGCAACCTCTGAATGGCGACCCTAGGATCATATGGCAGGGTCACATGATGTTGCAGTTCATTTTACTCCCCTTGGTGAAACCTTAGGTTTGATGGGTGTAATAGCAAATTATATACTTTTTATGAACTTTTAACATAACTTTTTATTTAATTGAATAATAATATCTATTTATTTTATTCTCCAAATATATATTATATTTGTTTATAAATTAAGTAAATTCTTTTTTGCAAAACTTTATAACTTTAACTATAATTTATAAGTTTTTTCTCTGACATGTTAATGTTGGTATTTTTAAACATTCAGCCAATAATTAAATATGTAAAAAAACTTAGTTAAAAAATTGATTTATATATAATTGTTATTTAAAATACAAAAAATTTAATAACTTTTTGATGTTAAAAGTTATTTTCGTAAACATGATACGATATCTAATTTTTAAGAATTAATTTAATCCAAACAACTAAAGGATTAATAACCTAATAAATTAAAAAGTTAATAAATAAAAAATACAATAAAATATTGCATTATATATTAATAATGAATTTAAATAAATAACAATAATATTTAAAATTTATGGATCATCTTCAGTTGTTCGATATCTATACTATATTATAAAGTATTCGGCTCAATTTCTTAGGGGTCGTTTACCAAATATTTACCTTGTAAGTATTTACCGAGAAAATTCAATACTATTATTTACTTATCGAGTAAGATTTTAGTCAACAAAAACGGCTTTTTATGCAACAATTTACCCAGTAAGAGCTGACTGTGGTAAGAGTAATTTCCCTCATTTATCGGGTAAGACTCTCGGTTCTTGTCTCGTTCTTACCGGGTTAGATTTTTAGTCCTTATCATATTCATCTGATAAGGTAATATAACTTGGTAAGCGTTTACCTAAGTATTTGGTAAACGGTCCCTTAAAATCTACTTTCAAAGCATTATGTACTAATATGTAATGTTATGTTACTTAATTTTCAAGTTTACAAATTCTCAATGCTTTGGTACAACCTATTAAACATATCTCCTCATCTCTAAATCACAGCCTTACTAAATCTAAATTAAATTGTACTAAAAAAATTATACAAAAAACGAGAACTTTTAAATTGTTAATTTGATACTAATACTTATAGAAATTTTTATGGATCTTCAAATTTATATTTTATACAAATATAAAAACATTATCATTTTCTCAAAACCATACAAAATCGTATTATAAAATGAAACATTAAAATTGAAATGTTTCTCGCTATATTGCGTGAGTACGCTTCTAGTATATAACAAACTTATATTACATAATTGTTAAAAGAGTAATAGCTATAAGAGAAAAATGTGTGAAATAACAACTTACTTTTACAAATTTTCTTATTATAGCATTATAATTTAAGTTTTTCTTATTATAACAATATACTTTCAAAATATTTTTTTATTAGAGCATCGTACATTCAAAAATTTACCCGTTATAGCATTAGATAACCTTTTAAATTATATTTACTTATTGTATCTGATTTATTTGTCACATCATCGTCCACATAGGCTGTCCACATGTACAATAGTGCTGACATGACATTTTTTTATTACTAGTAAGTACTTTTAAATTTACTTTATTATAATATCATCAATTTCAATTACAACGTTGTACTGATATTTTTTTTTCATTTAAACATTGTAAATATAATCAAATATGTTTAGTAAAAATTATAATAAATATTATTTGAGATTATAATATCGTTTTTTATTTTGTTTTTTGTCATATTATAGAAGACAAAAAACATCCAAATCGGTAACTTTTTTAGCATTAACATATCTTCAATAATATAGCAAACAATACATGAAATTTAATCTCTTTTACCATTATGTAAGTTTTTTTGTTAAATTAAATATTATATTTTTTAAATAAAAAACACTTTTTTAAAACTCTGCAAACAAATCAAAATAGCTAACACATACAAGTGTCACCAATACAATTTAATACTATAATTTTTAGTAAATATATTTGATTAAATTTACAATATTTAAATACTAAAAATATTAAAATTAAAAGTACAATGTTGTAATTGAAATTGGTGATGTTATAATAAAGTATTTTTGAAAGTACAATGCTATAATAAGAAATGTCATGTTAGCATTATCCTACATGTGGATAGCCTACATGGACGATGAGGTGACAAATATAATGGGTAAATTTAATTTAATAGGTTATTCAATGTTATAACGGGTAAATTTTTAAAATTACGATGCGTAATATATATTTTTTTTGAAAGTACATCAATATTGGTATATTACTGAATAATTTAGCAAGATAAGTTGTCTTCTACTAGTTTTATTAATATTGGTATATTACTGAATAATTTAAAATATTTTATTCATTTAATATATTTATTAAATAACATGTAAAATATATAAATATTAAAATTAGAAATACATTGTTTAATAAGAGCTAGTAGATGTTATAATAAAATAATTTTGAAAGTACAATGTTATAATAAGAAAGTCACATCACTATAGTACATGTGGACATCATACATGGACAATGAGGTGACATGAAAACTTGATATAATGGGTAAATTTAAACCAAAAGGTTATTCAATGCTATAATGAGTAAATTTTTCAAAGTATAATGTTTTGATAAAAAATAGTTTGAAAGTACATTGCAGTAATAAGAAAAACTAGAAGTACAATGCTATAATAAAGAATATTATGAAAGTAGATTGTTATTTTGTGCATTTTGTCCTATAGTAATAATGTACACACATATAATTGAATATGAACTCAATGTGAATAATTTGTGAACATTTTCTTAGAAATATCATTATGGTTATTGAACAAATTGTGAACATGCTTAAAATCTACGAGATCTGATATAGTTTATGAACATATTGTGAACACAAACTAAATCAATAAAATTAAACTAAAAACAAATGTGAAATTTGTGGACACCCTCAGAAAAAATTTATTAAGATTGTTTACATTTTATTCACAACGTATTCATCTTGTATCGATACTATGTTAATATGGAGAATTGAGAGAAAAGAGGAAAAAAAAGAGAGATAAACATGGAATTTGCTAGAAAATGCATTAATTTTTATTTAATAAATAATGATAATTACCTCATTAATTAATGATAATAATATTTTTAAATCAATGACTTAGGATGGATCTCATAATTTTTATTTAATAAATAATGATAATTACCTCATTAATTAATGATAATAATATTTTTAAATCAGTGGCTTAAGATGGATCTTATGTATCTCCATATTTTAGAGTTCTCAAATGATCAATCGCATACATTTATAAATGAGTAAATTACAAATTTCGTCCCTTTGGCCATCGAAAATTAAAAAACTTTTAACCCTTTATTTTTAAACTAAATTATCTTAAAAATAATTAATATTTTAATCGAACAAATTATATCAAAAAATTGAGCATTTTATTCTTTTCGATTTGACATCTATCTCGATATGGTCTTTTTTATATGTTTTTAACTTTTTTTTACATCAAATATTCATTATGAATATTTATGTCCGTCCATATGTTTAAAACAATTCTTTAATATTCGTAAATTAGTATGATATTCATCATGAATATACAACTTACTATAACAATTATCATGAATAATTATGTATTTTCACGTGTATTCAATAAGTTTCCAATATTCATACATCACCATGACATTCGCCATCAACTTTCTAAACTCAAACTCGTTTGAAGCTCGAACTAATCTCAAACTCAAATCAACAAACTCATCCGATGAAATTTATGAAATTTTAGGGTCTTCTCTTATATTATAAAACTTAAACTATTCAAGTCGAGCGTTGACAAAATCAATCTCGAGTAACTCACCCCAACTTTGACAGATAGTGATCGATGGAGACGAACACGAACGGAGCTTTTTGATAATTCCGACGATTTTGACATTGGTTTATCATCATAGAATGCCTTGGAAGAGTTGGAGAGGCAAACAAGAGTCTCAAGACTCGAATATCCAATATCATCCACTTTTAAAAGTAAATGTCTGTATACCAGTTTTAATATAATCGTTATTTAGTTAATTAAAAACTGTAATAACATTTTTAAGACTGTGTACCTCTTTCATTATGGACATTTATTTCGGAACAAAGGTCCCGAGGATATTGATCCATCATGAAAATAATCCATGGCTTTCATTTTTTAATTTTTTTGTTTCATTTCCAAAATTATCGATAAGCTTATAACGTCGTAATATTTTCAACATGATTTTATGCAAGTACTGTAACAAAATCTACATGCCATGCTTTACGAGATGCTTGTTACCTCTGCAACGAGATTATCGTTGTTTTGGGATGGCGTTCTTGAGCTTTTCCACTACGCTCAAAAGCGTAGAATTCTCGTCACAGGCTTCCCTCAATACTGTAAGCTTCTTTGCTATTTCAGACCCCTGCAAGGACAGATCTTCTTCTGGATCCAATTTTTGAGAAGTTGTTGGCTTCTTATATTGCATGAGTTTTACCATCATATCCTATCATCATATAACACATAAATGCATAAGCATGGACCTCAAAACTTATATATAATGGCCATAAAAAAGAACTGAATGGTTGCTTTATCCCATATTTGTGTGATTTCATAGAAGTCCAGACTTTCCTTTAAACCAAACGCCGGATTGGAACAGAATCCAATTCCAAATCCCACAAACCAAACAGGCCTTAAGTTTCATGAAACAAAAGTAGCATAGATTTACAACAAATATGTAAGCTTTACTGGAACCAACAAGTTCAAAGAACCTGGATATAGAAACCATACCTCATGCTCCGGTTTTCGAGAGTAATCACGAAGGATAGATTTGGCCAACTTCTTTCGTAACGAAATTCTGTCACCAGCATGATAACCGAATATGAAATATGATACATGGTGAATGACCAATGTGAATGCAACTGATTTTCTAGTCACTGATCTATCGAGAGCACCAGAAACCCATGATTTTACATATGCTTCCAGAATCGTTTCATCGTCCTGTAGAGAGATAGTAGTTGTTACCTCATAAATTTCATAATAAATACCATTATAGCTATATAAGCACATGCTCAGTCTCACATTTTACCAAACAGAGTAAATCTATATGGAAATTCGAGTTTTTCATTCGTGAAACAATCAACCAAGTAACAAAAACTGTACATATACTCCCTTCGTCCCAAAATAAACATCCGGAATGAAAAAGGTGTAATTATGGCACTTTTTAATTAACTAAATAACAACTTTACCTTTGATAATAGAGAAAGTAATAAATTTCTCTATATCATAATTAAGGACAAATTTGGAAAGCAGACATTTACTTTCGAAAGTGGAAATGTACTTTGGGACAAACTAAAGTAGAAATGTGGACACTTATTTTGAGATGGAGGGAGTACTATGAAACTTAAATTCAATGGCAAATAACTGAAATCGGGGCCAAAATCAGTTCCAAGAAGTTTGAAGAAATTTGTTTGTTTCCAAGCTCCAAACCTGAAATTCCAAGTTCTTAAACCTACCTTATGAGAGTAAGACCGAAAATTTCTTACCTCCAACGGTTCTAGGTAACCTTCCTCCTGGGCTAAGCATTGTTCTAACGGTGGCAAAAGCTCAAGAGCTCTAACATTTGACAGAGCATTCCAAGCAGCAAGTCGAATTGGAGCTCCAACACAACGATGTAGGTACATTGCAATTTGCCTGCCATATAACAAATCACCATACGACACACCAGCAAAATTCTCCACGTGAGTTTCTACAAATGTGGAGTAACTGTCATGTATCTCCTTGTCAAACTTCAAAAAGTCAACACTATTATTCCGTCCCATTTCTGATAGTTTTTTATCAAGAAGCTGCCCATATAACTCCTGCAAATTGATGTAAACATCCCTAGTCTTCTCCTCTTCAAGAAAATTCATCCCAGCAAATAAAGTTACAGACAAAGCATGCAGTTTCCAAATGACTGGCACACTCTGGATGGAGGAGTAGGAATATGAAGAAATGTGACTGGACATTGCTTCAAGACCTAAAAGAAAGAAAAGCCCACATCTCGCAACTTCTGGGAAGTTGGGTTCAACAGGAAGATTGACCACTTTGGTGTAGTCAACAGTTGAAACGGGGCTGAGAAACCAATGATCAGGAAGTGGCAGCCTCTGATGAGCCCATTCCGTTACCAAAGAAGTTGAATTAATTGTCCTTGATGTGTCAACGTCTTCTTGAATGGTGTCAAGAGAAAATTTGCTCTTTTTGGAGGTTCCGTGGTTACTATCTCTAGTTTTGAGTTTTGCTTTGGACTTCTTTACATGTAGCCATCTATTCTTGAAGTGAGAAATTAAATTCTCACTAAACATCAAGTACTCTTCTTCCATATACTGCCACCCAAATGTTTTCAGATTGTTGAGATCAAGGGAACGGCGAATAACAAGATCAAGACACTTGAGAATTTGTGGTTGTAGCAAGATATCGAGCACCTTGTCCATTATAATTCCATCCTTGGGTCCCATGAGTAAACATAAGTTGAAAGCACAGTTTACTCTCTCCATTGTAACGTTTAATTCTTCATTTGTGGGGTTTTCCTTAGCAAACTCCACCAGAAAGATCTCAAGCAACTGCAGGACCAATCTTGCATCCATTTGGGCCACCAAAATGTTTGTAGACCAAAACCCTCCACCAGAAGCCCCCCATCCAACACCAACACCTGGAGCAGGACCACCTCTTCCAAACATCTCAACAGATTGCACAAGTTGTCCCGAAGAAGTCAACTTCATGAAAGATGTCAATAAGGTTGTCATCTCAGACATAGAACACTTGAGTATGCCATCAGTAAGAATTTTATCGGCACTTGCTAAACTCTGCGGCTCAATGGATGGAACGATGACCTCAGTGTTAGCAAGCTGAATCAACTTATTAACCGAAACTACAACCTTTACCAACCCGTTAAGGCAACATGCAGAGGCTAATGATGTTTCTTGATCACTTTGATGTCTATATTGACACAAAAACTCAAGGAAAGAACCAACACAATCAGTACCACTTCTATTATTGGGTTTGTTCACTTGGGTAAAGTTCAAAAGTCCATTCTTGATTATGTGTAGTCCAATCTTTGGGACAAATTCGGGTAGCCATGGAAGATTCCCACCCAGAATGCTAGAGTTATCCTCTGGAATCACATTTTTAAGAACACCAAAAAGCATGTGCATAACTGCCGATATTACCCATAACATGGAAGTCAATTCTTCAAAATTTCCTTTGGATGGTGATATTAAGTTAAATAAATACGTATCACTTTTCAATGATATCCACTTAAGTGCTAAATCAATCATTGGACCAACATGGTTCCAACACCAAGTCTCTGTGTCGTTCATGGGCTCCTCTGTTGTTCGATCAATCTTCTGTGAGTGTGAGTAAAAATTTGGAAGCGTTCTTGTTAAAGCCTCAAGGACCAGGTATGCTTCCTTAGTGATGGAGATGAACTCATGAAGGATGTTCTTTCCAATCAGTTTGTCAAATGTGGGAACGTCTAACCATATGTAAAGAGCGGGGAACAGGTCTGAGAAGTAAGATACACAATACCCATACTGAATGCAAACCTTCCAAAAACGTAGCTGTTCAACCAGCAAAGCTGATGAAAGCTTGAACTTCTCTGTATCTATGTTCAGCCAGTGATCAAGAGAGAATGCATAACGATACAAATGCGAAATCATCTTCCGGAAAATTCCATTGTCTACGAATTCCATACACCTTTTTCTCTCTGATCGAGCCAGTACCTTAATATAACAAGATTTAGAAAACATTGTAGGTTTCATTATTAAATGAACAGATTATTCTCCACCAAACTGTTTAAATAAAGATCGTGCATATGCTTACATACCTTCACAAGGATAACCGATTTTATCTTTGAAAAATCGACTCCCATTTGGTCTTTTGTAGTGAACCTGTGCACAATGACTTGAACTAGCCTCTCACACTTCATGATTGCATCTGCACATGTAGGGGAATGCCGTGCTATTGCAACCAGTATAGAAATTAGGCATTCTTCCAAAGCTGCTGAAGGGTCAGACTGAAACATAGAAATTAATTTGACAGTCATCAAATCTGGTAACGATATATGATCCAACGAGCATTATGTGAGTCAATGAAGTATCGAGGTTGGATACATAGACAAAAGTACCCATGAAGTAATAAATACTGCTTTCTGTGATGCACCAATATATCAAGACAAAGCATCCAAGAGTTTATATTTGAGATATACTCGTAAAATCATATTGAGACTTCTTGGAAACACATCTCTGTTCCTAATTAAACTGAGATTCACAAACTCACGTTGACCATATATCTTTCATGCTCAAATTTCCATATCCATGGTTAAGCTTTGCTTGTTTAGCATCCAAAATTTGAACATTGTGCTCCAGCAGATTGTGAAAATACACAATTAAATACCAATATATGTATATAAGTCATTACTCAATTCTATTGATCAAACTCAAGTCAAAAACCATACGAGCAAAATCAAGACAAAACATGCAAAAATCACAACACAAGAACTCCGTTAAATCTGAAGATTTCAGGAGAAACATATCGATTCATCTTTTTCATTATATTTTTTGTTCAATAAAGATCATTAATATCCTGCTTCAGAATAAGGTTCATCAATATAGGTAGTGGTTTATACATGCCTCAACCATTTATCATGTTTTTCTCTATACTTGAACAATACCGAATCAAAGAAATGCATGTGTGACCAAAAAAGTCAAATTCCGTAAAGCATTGACTTGGAGTGATTTAAAAATATGGTGATCCAAGTGTGCCATAATTTTCCAACTTATAAGAGAAAGAAAAGAGCATCACTTCAAGACTGATTACCTCTAATAGATAGCGAATTCTTGGAAGGATTCCCATTCTAACCAAGCCTGCTGCAATATCCTGTATAGCAACCACAACGTCATCCTTTATTGTGTGTTCATCTTCAGCCTCATCATCCCTCAAAGTGTTATCAAAAGGAAAAAGATTTGAGGGTTTCGTGTTGTATTTCCAAAAGCCGCCATGAAGAAAACCAACATCAATCTTGGGTCTACTTCTAAAAATCGGAGCTGTACAGACATCCTTCTCATAGATTCCTGTTTTCTGGAAGCAGATTGTATCTTGCAAGTAAATAAGAGACAAATAATCATAGTGAAGTTCACTTAAGTAAGCAACTCTACCTCAGAGATATCAAAGAAGAGCTCATTGAAATCATAGCTCAGAACACACTGAATGACTCTTGCACAAGCGATAACCACAGAATTGTGGTTATCATCAAGACAGATCCTACAAGTCCACAAAATGGCTTAGAATGCAATAGTTTAAACTATTAACAAGTAATCTAACTTTATTAAGAAAATGAACTTTACTGTCCAAATAATGGCAATGAACAAGTTGATTAGCTTTAATGAAGATATTCAGGGGTAATATAGGTAATTAGGTATCATACTAAAATGCATGAAGTACAAGATAGAGGACTAGGTGTGAGGTTCATAGTAAATTTCGATGCTAATATTACACATCTCATCTCCAACTTTCATCCATATGTATGTGCATGAAGTGTCCGAGCTCCCAGAATAAACAACATAAGTAGAAAATAATCACCATCTGGTCTATCATTCAAAACGACATGGATTTCAACTTAGAAATTCTAAGATTTACCTGAGTGATAAAGCAAGTTCGGGTTCTGGACCTAGCGCAAAAGCCCAAAGAGCCTCCCAGTCAACAATCTTATTCTGATTTCTGGTTTTCAAAGTTGACCCTGTCTGGTTTCTGCGAATATTATCTTGTGCTTTATAAAGAACAGAGGCAAGAAGATGCAAAGCAAGAGCCCGTTGTCCAGGAACCTAATATGCAAAAAGCATAAGGGAAAGGAAGAATATCATGAATTTATATTGTATTGTCAAGGTTGATGACAGAACATTACTCCCTGCTACCCAAGAAGATGTACACTTTGACTATCAAGATCAAACAGACAGCTTTCCGATTACAAACATTGCACGAATATTTTTAAAGTATTTCAGAAATATTTTATCACTACATAGAAGTTTATTATGGGCAGCAGATAGGTTAAATAATAGAAACACTACCACCAATTTCTAATTTGGAAATCAGTCTGCAACTGCTTGATGGTATAAGTCAAAAGATAGAAGTGCTTTTTTTTTTGTGTGTGTGTGTGTTTTTTTTTTGGGGGGGGGTTATAATGAATAACATAACCAACCACGCTTCTAGTGAGAGCCAATGCTTCTTTGATGGTGTAACCAAGAGCACCAGGATCACCCTCAGTTCGAAGAAAATCACGTTGTGAAGCATTTTCACCACTGTAAACACCCATAGCAGATGCATTACCTAGAAAGCAAAAAAGCTGTTAACCGCTAATGCATAGTAGATAATCTTTATTACAAAGAATTAAAAAAAAAAATCAATGCACCAGGTGACATAAAAATAAATGCATCCATAGAATACAAGGCAGGAACACTAGCCATTTGACATCAATCGTTTCCCCACCCAAAACAAATTAAATAATAACAATAACAACAATAAAAGAGCAAATGAAATTGACCATTACGTATATGAAAGATAGCAAAGGACAAATGCATTAGCAAATAAAAAGAAACAAAAAGAAAGATAAAATGGGAATGATTTCAAGTATATATCTCATACACCCTTAAACTCTTATTAAAACTATCAAAGATCAACTACAAAAAAGAAAGAGAAGAAAAAAAACAATTCCTGTATCATGTATAAGTCTGATCAAAAGCACGGTATACATTTTTTGTAATTTTAACTCTTCCCTGAATCTAGATGACAAATTGACAAGTCAATCGCTAACCATTTGATCAACTCTGAACATCAAATCTAAGTGGTTGTAACCGAGTGGAATCCACATGCTGTTGGGCATAAGCGGAGGTGGACAAGAATCACTTGAATTCTTACATGTTTATCCAGCAATGATACCAATTGATACAGGACAACAGAAGTTTCCCTACACCAATAATCTAGAGATGTTTCTGGTTTGGACTTAAGTTTGATTTTTAGGAACTACCCATCATTACTGATTGGAAGTTCTTGACTAAAGCGTTTCTTTTGGAGTAACTAAAAGTCTAAACTACAATATCTTAGAAAAAAACTAATTGAGCTGAATCAACAATCCCTCCATCACCTTGCATAAAAGAATATATATATATATATATATCAAGGGAGGACACTTAGTTGAATAATTAAAAACAATGATTGTATACATCAGGGAAAATGTTTATTTTGATGATAAACAGCAATCATGTACGAAATGCAAGTGTAAGTACCATAGTCACCATTACCTGGCACCTGACTGCAATCAGTCATTACATCTCCATCCAAAGAAAACCTTAAATCCCTTGCAGCCTCAACATTTGTGCTCCAAGCATCCCATAAACTGCTAGCAGATGACTTAACTTCAGGCAGGTCTTTACTCTCTAACCCGGTCTGTTTACGATTTGGGTTTCTTACAATCATGTTCTGAGCATTATCACTCTCTGGGAGCAGAGTGGCACTGATTGATTCTTTCTCAGCCTTTTCATCAACCACTTTGCCAATGGAGCAAATAGCAGAGCCAGACTCACTTTTCTTTCTCATTTTGTCTTGCCCCCTCTTTTGCAATATCTTTATCAATGCCGGATTCATCTTCTTCATTATCTCAGCCTGAGCCTCGGCAATCTCATCAGTGGACATCTTCTCCAACTGAGCACGATTCTCAGCATCAATCTCACTCTCCATACTTGTAGAACCCTGTTCAATACCTGCATCTACAGAACGAGAATTGGAATGCATACGAGAAGCTGGTGTATTCAACTCCCCCATATCCACCATAATCTCCTCTCGAGCTTCTCCAATCACATTTTCTGAAATGTCCTTTGCCTTAAGGGTTGATCGCATACCATCGTCAAAATTACTGTGGACATCATCAATACCAACTTCACCTATCTTTTCCTCATGGCGCTTCACTACTTTGGATATTGTGCTGCCCGACCCCTTTTTCAGGTCACTCGGTTTTGCGCTATCATCAAACTTGTGTTCTCTCTTGTTAGAAAACTCGGAAGTATTATTACCATTCATGAGCTCTTGCCAATGCCTAAAATCCAAACCTTTCTTCTGTTTCCTTTGAATGGGATTAGCATAAGCTGCAGCCAGATCAAAGTTTGTATGATCTTCATCTTCTCCATCGTCTTCCTCATCTTTACCATGGGTTCTCAAACTGCTAGTCCTTGGTGCCCAATGCTTTCAAATAACAAACTTTGTATCAGTTTATCACACTCTAACAGCCTCAGAAACAGGTGGAAAGGGGGCCCAAAGGACAAAGAACAAAAAAAATTGATGTCCAACTTGACTGTGTTTTAAGTCATAAAGCCTATTAAAAAAATGATGAGTAAGAGGTCACAAAATGGTACATGTTGAATTGTTGATGCAGTAACTATGTTTCATGTGCTACCAATAAATACATAGTAAAATTATACTCTCATGTCATATAATTGTGATTTCTAGCATTATTCAGTAGATAAATAGTAAAGTTTTATATCAATTCCTGCACAAATCTTAATAGATGCAATATCCTCAAAAGCTGGTTTAGGCAACACAATGTAAAGTGATATCACTAACTTGATTCATCCATTCAAACTATAAACAAACACAAACACCATCTCAAATATGACCAGTGCTGGTTGCTAAACATCACGAAAGGTTCTGTGACATATACCATCAATCAAAACACATCTATGATTGTTTCTGTAACTAGGTCAAGGATAAATTCAAAGAATTCAGAACAAACTAAAAAAAACATCTGAGCCTCTGAGATGTGGGTGGCAGTCATCTTATTCGTAGGCAAAATCCTCTGCTTCATACACAGAAACACAAGCATGCGGACGCATCCATGGCAGCAGATTGTTTTCTCAGACAAAAACAATCATTCGTCATCGTATCCCTTTAACAACGATAAAACACTAGAATTAGAAAGCTTAGCTTAAACTTCCCAGGATATGTACGGACCCAACTATTGCATTATTACGTTAAACTTCTACCCTAAACATATCATAATTAAAATTACTTATGGTTGCATATAAAATATGAACATAAATCCAAAAATGCAACTATTTTCATGTATTTCCATTTGAAATCCATATCACCTCATAAAAATTAAAAAAACAAATTCAAGTAGGCAAAAAGGAGAAAAACAGGAATCGTCTTACAGGTCCATGAGAGCGGTGTCGAGCTACCGGAAACGGAAGAACAGTGACCTGAGGTTGTGACACCTGCTTGTTGAAACCCTTCTCGACTATACCACCCAGTACGCTTGAAGAAACGTCGTTTTCACTGAGTTGGAGGCCAAAACTCTTCTTCGCGCCAGAAGATGAGTTCTCCCCATTTCTCTCAGCTTTCTTCATTTTTGTCTCAAATGTGTGCGAGAAAACCTCGTGACTTTGAGCAATTATAATACAAATTGATCGTAAATTATAACTTTTAGATGATCAGAAAGCAAAGACGATCCACTCTCCTGCAGCAGAATGGGGACGACGACCAGCAGTCCAGTAGGAGCTCGGCGACGAGGGTTTTGACTAAAGAAGAAGAGAGCTTAAAAAGCGTCTCTTATACCTTTACTTTGAGTACATTACAAGTTCCGTCCCTATACTTTTTTATATCTTACAAATACTACCCTCAACTAAAACATCTTGCCTTTTTCATCGCAAAATGCTTTTCCTTTTCATCCTTGCAATTTTTAATAAAGAGCCGTTTACCTAACATTTACTCGGTAAGCGTTATAGGTAAAATTCAACACCATCATTTTTGTACCCGGTAATATTTTAGTCCACCAAGACGGCATTGGATGCAAAAATTACTTGGTAAGTGCTAACTGTCGTAAGAGTCATCATCCTCACTTACCGGATAAGACTCTCGGTCCTTGTCTCGCTCTTGTCAGGTAAGATTATTGGCCATTCCATATTTATCCGGTAAGGTAATGTGACTTGGTAAGCACTTACATGGGTAAGCGTTTGGTAAACGGCCCCTAAAGTGATAATTTTGTACAAACTAACCAACATACCAATTAAATTGATATCAATTTAATATGCACTAATTACATGGTATATGATACAGAATTTTCTATACAAATAATAATTGGTTGATACACGGTATTGGAGAAAAAAAAATCTTGGTACAGTATAACTACACCTCTAATTTTTTATTGGCCGGTAATAAGCCAACATACAAAAAGCATATTTAAAGTTCCATAATATAATGATGTTCAACTTGTCTCATTCTAAAGATCAGTTAAATTTTTTAAGTCGAAACGAGCCATAGTAAAAAAAGGTAAGAATTATCACTCGCTTACCTTACCAGATAAAAAATTTGGTCATCGATACACATAATATGACTGTTGATAAATGTTTTTTTATAAAATGACCGCCCTGATAAAATTTCCGCTCTTTGTCATGTTCACCTCTGATTAACATTTACGTCCCCTTGGAGTTCAATTTGAGAAGTCGTGTTCCGGAAATCAAAACATTAACCGAAAAACCATCCAAACCAATAATACAAAAAAAAGTCATTAAGACCATAACAAGAGATTGATTAATTCAAACTTCATTCAATTGGAATGAACTAAAAGATGCACCTAAAATCACAAAATCAAAAGGACACATTTCGAATTTTCACGACCCTAAACACATACAACTGAAAGGAATGTAAGTAAACATACGACTGAAAAAACGATCAATTATTTATAGGAAAAAAATAAAACAAGAGGCTTATTCTTCTCCGTTTAGATGCTCGAGTTTATGCAACGAGTAGCACGAGAGCAGAGTGTATGTCCACTTTAATCTTTCGACTTGTGTCATATCCGATTAGATGTTAAGATGGTCCAATCCATCCTGCAATCACAAATCATGGGTTACTTCACTTTAAGAAAGAAAAAAATAAGAAACATTGCTAGCACCACCACGAATTTCATGAAATCGGAAAACCCCCCTCCCATCAAGGCTGCTAGCACCACCACCATGGTTTTCATTGATAGTACCAAAACTAAGCTCCAAATGCAGTATCTATAAACCAAAAACTCATTTGGAAGGTCTTAGCAGGGAGTCTTTATGGAAACAACTGCTCTACTCTTCGAGGTAGAGTTCAGGTATGCGTACACGGTAAATCTCACCAGCCCACCTACTTTCGAGTGGGATTTACTGGGTCAGCTTCGTTTGGTTTAAAGATTTCTTTACTTGCTTTTGAGGACATCTAAGACATTTGACAAGTAGTTAAAACATTTTTACGCTACATGTGCTACGAAATGTTACATTGGAAATCAAATGTTAAGGAACCAACAGGGCCCCAAAGCAAATCATCATAAAGGCTCACACGAGCAAGCCTAACGTAACACCCGTATTTTCGATAAGTATATTTCGGGTTTTAAATCTTCGACCTTAAAATGACCCTTGGTATCTATCTTGAGTTGGGTTATGATTGGTAGTACGCAGTCTAGAAAACTCAAAATTTAGGACAGTTACATTGCGCCAGTGAAGAGGGGCTTCACGACCGTGAACCTGGGCAGCAGCTTGGGGCTGGTGGTCTCGGGCGACCCTGCAGCTTGAAATAGGCTTCGGCCATATATTTTTCGAGGAATTACCCCCACCTACACTCCTCGATATGCTCTCGACCTCCTCACCACTTACTTCCAGTCCATTTAATTCCATCTCCTTATCATTTAGGCGCCAACCTTGAAGATCATATTTGCATTCAAGGGTTAGGTAATTCAAGTATTTATTTCCATTTATGAAGTAATACGAAGCTTTATTCTAAGAATTTGCATAAAAGTTACATTTATGAGAGGTTTGCCATCATTTTAGACTATGAGCTAATTATTGACCAACCATATGAACTCTCATTGTTGAGGACCTTGATTTACACTTATTTCAGTTATGATATATCATTTCATAGTTTTGGGTCGGAATCGATATTTGACGCTTATTTCACTTGATTGGGTACTTAATGAATCCAAGTAGTATTGTTTTGTATGCAAACATGATTATGGCATAAATTTGTGTGCCATTGTGTTACGAAATCAGAAGTTATGCAATCTATTGTGAATAAATCAGTAGAGTGGAAAGTCTATTCTAGAAGGGCTAAAGGGGTAAATTTGGAAAGTGGCTAGAAAGTTGTTATTTGTCTCTTTTTAAGGGGAAGGGGGGATACGTATTCTAGCATGTCATTTTCTGCTTTCTGTTATATTGGCTCTTTGCATGTTGCATTGAGAGAGGGGTTCTCCCTGGATATCGTTCTGTATTTTCTGTTTGATCATAATTCCATCAGCTTCCTTTCCCCTAAACCTTCTCTATCATCTTCTTCATTTTTCTGTTCTCTATCATTGGTCCGACCTGCACTGTGACCTGCCGGACTCATGGAGACACGTTCTGTTCAAAGCCGTTTCGAACAACAAGACGAGCAAATTCAGCGTTTGCAAGCTGATTTGCTGGAGATCAAATCGGCGATTTCGGTGTTAGATTTGGATCGTGCTGAGGCCAGTGAGTTTCGTCAAATGATGTTGGGCTGGATGAAACGGCAAAACCACGTTCCGCGGGGTGATCCGGGTACGTTTTCTGGTGATTCTCCTCCGTCATCAACAGGGGGTACGTCTTCGGGGTTGTTTTCTAATTCAGGACCGGTTTCCTTGTCTCCTACGGGAGGCCTTCCATGGGCAGTAAAGAAAATCAAACTCCCAGAGTTTTATGGCTTTGACCCTCAAGGTTGGATCCAGAAGGCGTCGATGTATTTCGATATTAATAATATCGCACCTCCTCTTCGAATTTGTTTAGCTCAGTTGAGTATGGTGGGAGTAGCTCAACACTGGTTTACCATCGTCACACAGGTTCACAATCCTCTTACTTGGGAGCAATTACAAATTGAACTATTGCAGCGATTTAGCGGCCTTGAAATCCAAAATCCTTTTGAGCAATTAGCTACAATGAAACAGACCACTTCAATTCACGATTACATTGATGATTTCGAATATCTCTTATCATTGGTTCCAAAATTGCCTGAGTCTCAAGCTTTAGGCTACTTTATCGCCGATTCGCCGGCTTACGTGACGATGTCAAACGTTGGGTCCGTCTCCATCGACCTCAATCCCGATTGGATGCGATGTACCTGGTGAAGGATGTAGAAGAAATGCTTCGTCCCTCGTCGGCCTCGGTTTCTCAATCCCGTCGTCGATATTTTCATGGGGGTGGGCTGAATGAAGGGTCTCCTGGGCCTCGCTCTTTTCAGTTGGGCCAGCCCAATGTTCGCGGGCCTCAAATGGCAGTCCACAGTGATAAGGCGCCTTCTGTCAAAATCGATGCAACTCGTTCTCCGCCTTATCGTCCACCTGCATCGTCCCCGTCGGAGCTCTTTCAGGGTCAGCATCGCGATCGTGGGGTTCGATCTCTTACGAGATCGGAGTGGGAAGACCGTCGTAAGAAGGGTCTATGTTTTCGTTGCGGCCAACAATTCGGTCCCGCACACAAATGTCCAGAAGGGAAGTTGCGTGTACTGCTGTTAGGCGATGATGAATACGAAGTCAACGAAGGGGAATTATGTAACAATGAGGAAGAGCCGCCGTCACGTTGTTCTCCAATCGAAGTACCAGAGCAGGGTTTGTGTGCTTCCTTGCAAYTATTTGGAGCCTGTTCAACACTATCGGGAGGAAAAACGTTAAWATTAGAAKGTACTATTTCGGAYATACCTTTACTTATTTTGGTAGACAGTGGCGCAACGCATAATTTCATTTCTCAACGGTTGGTAACATCTCTGGGTCTATCTTCAACGCTGTTTGAGGGTCTCAATATTCAGTTGGGTGATGGTCATAAAGTATTCATAAATCAAAGGTGTTGTCAACTGTCAATTGTGTTGGGCACTTGTTCTTTTGTGGTGGATGCTTTAGTTTTCAATACTGGAAACTTGGATATGGTATTGAGAATGGAGTGGTTACGATCCTTGGGAGAGGTCACCCATAATTGGGACAAGGCTTGGATGCGTTTTATGCATCAGGGCAGTCCCGTTCAACTTCAGGGACTAACTTCGGATCACTCACCTGCGGAGTCACTTCAGACTTGCTTAACGGCTCCATCAGCAATACATTATCCTCTCGGGTTTTCCTTGTTCGCCATCTCGACCGACACGCCAGGTTTGTCTTCTGTTCAAACTACTAAATTACAGCAGCTTATAGACGCATTTTCGGCTGTTTTTCAAGCCCCAACAGGCCTTCCTCCGTCCCGAGATCATGATCATGCTATCGTGTTGCTGTCCTCACAACCCATTAGTGTACGTCCTTATCGTTATCCCCACATTCAGAAAGCCGAAATTGAACGACAAGTCCGTGAATTGCTATCATTGGGAATGATCCGTCCAAGCAAAAGTGCTTTTTCGAGCYCGGTAATCCTAGTTCGTAAGAAGGATAATACGTGGCGTATGTGTGTGGATTATCGCGCACTCAATAAGGCTACCATTCCGGATAAGTTCCCGATTCCCATGGTCGAGGAACTTATGGATGAGTTATACGGTGCTCATTATTTTTCTAAGTTGGACTTAAAGTCCGGCTACAATCAGATTCGTATGAGGCCTGATAGAATTGAAAAAACAGCGTTTCGGACTCATGACGGCCACTACGAGTACTTAGTCATGCCGTTTGGCTTAATGAATGCCCCTTCAACGTTTCAGGCAGTAATGAATGATGTTTTTCGATCCTTACTGCGTAAATCGGTCGTCGTATTTTTCGATGATATATTAATCTATAGTCCAAGTTGGGAAGCCCATTTAAGTGATTTGAAGGCTGTCTTGACTCTGTTACTACATAATCATTTTGTAGTAAATCAGAATAAGTGTTCCTTTGGTCAATCGTCGGTGGAGTACTTGGGACACATCATTTCTCACACCGGTGTAGCCATGGACCCTAAAAAGGTGGAAGCGGTCGTCGATTGGCCAGTACCCAAAAGTATTAAAGGATTACGGGGATTTTTGGGGCTTACCGGCTATTATCGGAAATTCGTTAAACATTATGGCAGCATCGCGAGACCTTTAACCGATCTCACTAAGATAGACGCTTTCCTCTGGACTTATGTTGCTCAAAACGCTTTTGAGGCTTTGAAAGATGCTTTGGTACACGCTCCTGTTTTGGCCCTTCCTAATTTCGGCCTACCCTTCGTTGTTGAATGTGATGCGTCGGGGCGGGGCATCGGGGTTGTGCTCATGCAACAAGGACAGCCCATCGCTTACTTCAGCAAAGCTTTAAGTGATCGTAATCTGGCAAAATCGACGTATGAACGGGAAATCATGGCCTTAGTCTTATCCATTCAACATTGGCGTTCTTATCTGTTGGGTACTACATTCATCGTCAACACTGACCAAAAGAGCCTCAAGTTTTTGTTACAACAACGCATCACTACTCCTGACCAACAAAATTGGGTGGCTAAACTCCTTGGCTATAATTTTGATATCTATTACAAACCGGGTCGAGAAAATCGAGCTGCTGATGCGCTTTCTCGACGTGCTGATTTTGGAGACTTTCTCCATTTAGCTTCTTCTCCGCTTTGGCTTCAAGGGGCTGATTTACTAAAGGAAGCGTCCAATGACCCAGAAATACAGCGGATTACGTCAGGATGGTTAGTCAATCCACAGTCGCATCCGGGGTATGCGGTTCGACAAGGGGTTTTGTTTTATAAGGATCGTTTGGTTATCCCTCGTACTTCCACGATGATTCCATCTTTATTACAAGAGTTCCACCAATCTGCGTCTGGTGGGCACTCCGGTTATTATCGTACTTACCGGAGGTTGGCGGCTAATCTTTATTGGCCGGGCATGGTGGAGAACGTCAAACGGTTTATTCGTGAATGTGATATTTGCCAACGTTGCAAGGCTAGTGCTACCTTACCTGGGGGTTTATTACAACCGTTAGACATTCCGAAAGCTATTTGGGAACATCTTTCGATGGATTTCATTGTGGGGCTGCCCAAATCAAGAGGGTTCGATGTTGTCTTAGTGGTGGTGGATCGGCTGTCAAAGTACAGCCATTTCATTCTTCTTAAACACCCGTACACGGCCAAAAGTGTTGCGAAAATCTTTGTGCGTGAAGTTGTGAGACACCACGGCATCCTCAAATCTATCATCAGTGATCGAGATCCACTATTTCTTAGCCGTTTTTGGCAAAAAATCTTTCGCTCCCAAGGTACGAAGTTGCTTATGAGCTCCGCGTATCATCCCGAGACGAACGGTCAAACAGAAGTAATTAATCGATGTCTCGAGGCTTATTTACTTTGCTTTGCTACTGATCAGCCCCGTAATTGGTCCATGTGGCTCCCTTGGGCGGAGATTTGGTATAACTCAATCTTTCATAGTTCAACGGGTAAATCCCCCTTTGAAGTGGTTTACGGTCGCAAACCACCTTCGGTCATTCAATTTATTCCCGGAGAGATACGTGTGCAAGCCGTCAGTCAAGAATTTCATGATCGTGATGAGGCTTTGAAACAACTTAAACTCCACCTAAGCCTGGCCCAAGCAGCAATGAAAGCACAGGCAGACAACAAGCGCAGAGAGGTGACTTTTATGGAAGGAGAATGGGTGTATGTTAAGCTTGAGCCATATCGCCAAATGTCAGTCACGTCGCGTATTCACCAAAAACTTGTTGCTCGTTTTTTTGGGCCTTTTAAAGTTTTGGAAAGAATGGGACCGGTGGCATATCGTTTGGATTTGGCCCCCACTTCGAAGGTCCATTCCGTCTTCCATGTCTCGCTACTTAAGAAAGCTGTCCGGGCGGAAAGCGAGCAAGTGTTACCCCTGGAATTGGAAATTGGCAGTGATGATCAGCTTGTTCCAGTGGCAATTTTGGCTTCTCGTACAGTAAAGGCTATCCATGACTCTATTGATCAATGGCTCATTCAATGGAAGGGTTTGCCAGTAGAAGAGGCTACATGGGAGGATGTCACATCGATTCGGAGTCAATTTCCTGATACAAGTCTTGAGGACAAGACTTTATTCGATGGCGGGAGTAGTGTTACGAAATCAGAAGTTATGCAATCTATTGTGAATAAACCAGTAGAGTGGAAAGTCTATTCTAGAAGGGCTAAAGGGGTAAATTTGGAAAGTGGCTAGAAAGTTGTTATTTGTCTCTTTTTAAGGGGAAGGGGGGATACGTATTCTAGCATGTCATTTTCTGCTTTCTGTTATATTGGCTCTTTGCATGTTGCATTGAGAGAGGGGTTCTCCCTGGATATCGTTCTGTATTTTCTGTTTGATCATAATTCCATCAGCTTCCTTTCGCCTAAACCTTCTCTATCATCTTCTTCATTTTTCCGTTCTCTATCACATTGCATTGGATCCATAGGCATAATTGTTACATCATCAAGAGAGGAGTTTTGAGGTTCTCTTCTTGATATCATTGGTTTGGGACAAGCGAGGAGTTTTGATGTCCTCGCCTTAGAAACCTTTGATCTTAGACAAGTGAGGAGTTTTGATGTTTTCATTTGTAACTTGAGGATTGACTAAGTAAGGAGTTTTGATGTTCTTATCTTAGCCCCAGTAGAAGTAATTGCCAACGGTTGGATGCTAGGGGTAATTTACTCGTCAACATCTCGATGTGCCTTACTTAGTGTTCCAGCAGGACTCGGGTCTCCCCCGTTATTGCAAGATAAATTGATTGTTCACCATTCTTTCTAGTCTATGGTTTCGAATGACTTCTATACATTATCTGTAAGCACTACATTTTCCAAGAAAGGCTCATATTTATTGCCATTTTATTCTTTATTTGTGTATTTGTAAACTTGGGGTAACTGTTTGATCTCACTAGGCGTGAGCCTAACATTTCTTCTTATTGACATGTGTAGCAGGTCATAATGGTGTCAAGCCTAAGAACCTTGGAGTGCCATTTCTTGGTGGTTGTTGGTAACCCCCGGCTTAAATCTAGTCCTAATAGGATTAGATAGAAGTCTTTAGAAACTCTGATATTCAAACTCTGTAATTGCTATCTAGTAACTTCATTGCCATGCAGGGCAAATACTTTTATTTTTTGTTATTTAAATGCCGGTTTTTACCGAGTTTTAGGTTGTTGCTATTTATAAATTTTAGGGGTGTTACACCCAACATCCAACGTTATTACACAAAGAAACTCCCACAAGTCAACCTTTTTAAAAGGGATCCTCTAGGGAACTAAAACCATATAAATTTCACAACAGCAGCTTCTTTATGTTTGGCAAACTAGATGATAAGCCAGCTGTTTGCTAAGCTAATTGTTGGCCAATAAGCTAGCCGTTACATAATAAACTAGTCATGTTTGGTAAAAGTAGCTGATAAGCTAGATAATGATGTAAAATGTCCTAAAAGGACATGTCCTAATATTAATAAGAAACATACGAGGGGAATCATTAGGGGGGAAACCTGAAACTTATTGAAACGCTACTTGAAGTCGCGTTACAAAATGCTAGTTTATGACCAACCAAAATTGGCTTTTTCAATAAGCTCAAAAAACAAGGTAGCTTATGGTTGCCAAACATGGTCTTAGTCTTGGCCAAAATAACTATTGATTTGAATGATGTTAGCTTGCCAATGTGACGAATCTTTGATAAATAAGGTACAACAACGCCATCATCTACCTTTGATCGACTTCTGTAGTGTACTATTATGAATCATATCTGAGGATTTGAATGGTGTTTCCAAGATATACCTGCCAACAGCTATAATCTACAACATCTAGATACGTTAAAGCTAAAGGTCAAATCTGAGTCAATTAAAAAACCGACAAAATTCAAGAGTAATTCTGTCAATTTTGTTGACAAAATGGGGTAAATAGATCAACAACTAAGAGATTTTTTACCACTAAAGACATGTAAATTTTGATCAAACTCATGCTATTTTTGAATGATCAAAGGAGGGAAAACCTGATATGATTCATAATAGTACACTACATAACTCGATCCAAGTTAGATGATGGCATTGTTGTGCTTCATTTATCAAAGATCCATCACATTGGCAAGCAAACACAATCCAAGTTCAATAGTTATTTTGCAATTTCATTATAATCAACAACCAAAATAGATGTAAAGATAAGCCCTGAAACAAAATATAATCAAAAGGGAAATCTTACTTCCAAAGCCACTGAATCCGAATGAAGCCAATGGGGAGGAGGCCAAAAGAGCTGAGAATAACCAGAGTCATTAGAAATAGGCCCAATGCAACCACTCTCCAAATCAAACACACCCACACCTCGACTCTTCATCAAACCATCATCTTCCCTACTCTGACCTGTAAAGAACACACAATTACCTCTGCATCCAGGAAAATCAGAAGCCGAAGCCGAAAACCCACAATTATCCCCTAAAAATAACATTCTGTCACCTAAACTTTTCACCTCATCCCACTTCTGTTCTTCTCTATCCAACCTATAGACCTCCAGTTTCACGGTCCTTTCACTCATAAAGCAATCAAAATCCTCATAAAACTCGTAATTCTCATCATCGTAATCGAAATCATTCTCAGGTCCAACACTTAAATACTTGTCAACCATGAACAATTCTCCCAATGATTCCACCAGAAACTTCTTGTCTCCACCAAACACAGAATTCGCAACAACTTTCAACAACGTTGTATCGGAATCCAGAACAACAATAACAGTCCTGCCGGTACTATCTACGGCATAGAACTCCCCTTTATAGAATATAACATCGTCGTAAGGCGACGGCAGATCGTTGATTATATGCCATTTCCTCTCTCCATACTTCAACAAAGCCAATTTCCCAGATACGTGAATCGTCAACAACACAAACCCATCAACACCGGAGCTACAAAAGGCAACCTTTTCCATATAAAGGGTTACAGAATCCCCAATGGAATTGGCATTAGGACGATAACTAATGTACTGCAAAGCATACTCTTGCCCTAACTCCATAACCCTAAAATTCAATAAATCAAGGGATCTAGGGAAATTGGGCAAGAGGGGTATGAATTCGTATCCAGTTAAGGGATTCATCAAATGGGTTTTTTGGGGGTTGTCTCTTTCGACCTTGATTAGCCATGGAGATGGGGTTTGTTGAGAATCACGATCAGGTAATCCGACACGAAAGATGGTGCGTTTGGAAAGGTAGAATCCCCAGGTGGTGTCGGAGATTCCGGCGTTCGGAAGAATCGGAAAACGGGAAGTGAAAGGTTGTATGGAGGATCGCCAGGAGGTGCAAACAGATCGGAAACGGAGAAGATCGGTCTCGGAGATGAGGTGTTTGGATATCAGATCAAGAAGTTCTCTCGGAAGCTGAGACCAGTCTGCCATTTTTCCTGATGCCAATGAGAAGGAAACAAGAATATGGATATAAAACTAAAAAGTCTTGAAAATTTACCAAAATTTACATTTTTATTTAATTTAAGAGCTTTTTGGAATTACTTATAAAAATAATTTATTGATTTATTTTGATGTATCATTAATAACAAAAAAAATTTAGTGTTTAGATAAACAATTTATATCGATACCAAACTAGTAATAAAAAGTTTTTGAATAAGTTAAACTCGTCTGACTTATAATAAATTGATTAATGTTTTTATAGAAAAATCATAAGTTATTTTAAATAAGCAATCTCAAACAATCTTTTAATTATTAATAATTTTTTTTTCTTATGCCATTAATTTATTTTATTTTCCAAAAAGAATCTAAAAATATTAAACTCCTCAATACCATGAATCTAATGGTTGGAAAATGATGAGAAAGAATAATTAGATTGAAATTAAACAATAATAATATGTAAATAATAATAAAAAAGAATCATTAGATTGAAATTAAACGAAGAATAATACATCTAACAATAATAAATAAAAAAGTATTATGAGATTGAAATTAAACATGATAAGAATGAATCATTAGATTGAAATTAAACGAAGAATAATACATCTAACAATAATAAATAAAAAAGTATTATGAGATTGAAATTAAACATGATAAGAATGAATCATTAGATTGAAATTAATCAGAGTAATATAAAAATAATAATAAGAATGGTATCGTTAAAGTTCAGAGTGACTTGTATACAACCTTTTTTAATAAGTTATCTTTGCTTAATTTCATAACTTTTTCAATAATTTTTATCTTTATAAAATATATATTTGTGGTTGCAGTTGATATACTAAAAGTTGTAGCAATTATTAGAACATAACTGATCTGTTACATATTTTCAATCTAAAATAGAATTTAGGAACACTATGTATACAAACCTGTCTTTCATCCAAATTTAAGCTTTTTTCCGAAATACTCGTCAATCAAATCTAAGATAATTCAAAAGCATTTATATTTTATAGGGAAATTAATTAAAATAGATATTTTTATTGTTTGGTTTCACATTTTTGTCACTTTGTTACAAGGTTTACCAAGATAGCCCTAGGTCAGTAATTTAAAAAAAAATGGTGGACATGGATGAAAAATGTAATTTTTTTTGTAAACTTGAAGAAAAAATGGTTAAGAGATGAAAACAACCATGAAAATGGTTATTTTAGTAAATTTCCTTATTTTAAAATACTAATGCAAATTGAAATATTTGATAGTTTTTTTTATTATCCTGGATATTCAACCAGCTATGCGAGTCGACTAATCCCAGGGAGATCACCTGCTTTGCAGGTAGCCCAGAGTCACCGCATTTGAACCCTTGTGACCACAAGGGGATTTTTGTTCTTTCTTGATGAACCTCGGATCTTCAGACACTTTTGACTTTTGAAGTCAAGCTCAAACCAATCAGACACTACCGTTGTGGTTTGCAATATTTGATAATTGTTGACATATAAATGGCATGTAACAAGCAACCGTCAAGTTGACCAATACCTACTCCTAAGAGTATAATATAATAGGCAAATTAGGTATACAACGGTCTCCTCTATGTCTGATTTAAACACTCAATGCCCACAAAAAACTCATCTCCCAAAAAAGCCTCAAGTCTGTCACACATATGATGATACTTGTCACACATATGATGATGAGACTGTCAGACTCGAACAACCATTTATTTATGCAAATATACCCCCCAAGATAATCGATCTAATGGAATAATAGCTCTTTCATTTTAGTTTTTGTTTATTTCAATTCATTAGCTAATTCATTATGTGATTATCCGTTTTTCATTTCAATTAAAACGATTTATTAAGAAAAATTAAAATATTATAGATGTAAAATCAAATTTTGTTTTTCATCAGAAATTAATTAAAAAAATGACTTAGAGACATTTTTTTAGATCAAATTATGTATCTTTTAACAGATTTATTAATAGCCTCATTTGAATTTAGGTTTATTCTTTTCTCATACAGGACTCTTATCTGATGTCAAAGTTGCTCGAACCTTTATGAAACAACGTATATTTTTTAGATAAAAATCACATGTTTCAAATTCCCAAGTTCCATTCATTTCATTCATGTACATTGATCACACAAACATACATCATCATCATCATCATCATCATCATCATCATCATTTAGGTTTATTTGACCATTTCAATTACTTGTAATGTCCCTGTAATATCGCAATAAATAGTTTTTGTCGTCTTGTGTATCAAAACGTACCCGTTGAGGTTCTCTCATGGAAACATCCTCTCTAGCCTTTGGGGTGGAAGAAAGGTTTGTATACATTTCACCATACCCTACTCCATGTTCGATTTACTGGTTTGATGCCTAATGGTATTTCTGTTACTCGTACACATAAGAATTGGGACACGTGCCACGGAACAATAATTGGCATGTCAAATTGATATTTAGTAGTATCATAATGTCAAAATTAAACTACTTACGACGTGAAGCGAGCGCTTGTGCTAAAATCATCACATGATGTTCATCTACTACCTGAATAACAAAAAGCACATAATAAAACCTAAAAATAATGGTGTATAAACGATATTGAGGCTGACCTCAGCTTCATTGATATGATTTAATGACGCTCTGGGGCATTAGAGGGTAAGTTCCCAGCAGCATATGTCCATGGCCTGTCCAGGTCAGCAGACATCGAGCCGTCTAACTTACAGCTCTGTGCAGCCTCCATAAGACGATTGTCGTCTTTGATGGGGATAAGATTCTGCATAGGAGATGAACAGAATGTTGGAGTGGCAAATGGAGAGGAGTAAGGTGTGTGCTGGATCGAGAATGGACTAGGGGACATTCGTTTTTGGACAGGATGGCCTCCTAAACCTCCTCGGTTGAAAATCGACAAAGATTCTGATCGTTTGGTGGCATTGTCTACAAAGATGACATCATCGATTCTTGCCATTATGTTGAATGCCAAGCTTTCCATCACCCTTGAGTAGCTTTCAAGAATTGATTGCCCAACATCCTGCAACAACAATTTCATCAGAAGATGAGAAAAACGACAAAACCAAACCAAAAAAAACAAATCCAGTATATCCCACACAGGTAGGGGTCCAGGGTAGGATGTAGGCGGACCTTTTCTCTACCCATGGGTAGAGGTGGTTCCCAACAAGAATTTGATCGGAGGAAGAGAAAAGTAACATGAAATCAAACAAAAAAACCCAATAATCCTCATGCAGGTAGGGTCTGAGGGTAAGTTGTAGGCAGACCTTTCCTCTACCGCACGGGATAGAGAGGCTTTTCCTGAGAAGACCCCTGGATTGCAAAACAAAAAAATGACATACAACTCGACAATAAGCAAGTGGCACCTGGCCCAGATGCTGCAAATTCTTGATACCTAATTTAGAAAATAGTGCAACAATAAGTTTTTGCAGCTCAACCAACAAATAAGGGCCGAGGCCGGGGCTTGGGCTCCTCTCTATACGTCGCCTGTTCGAGTCTCCTTAGGGCCACTAGGGATTTTCCTGTATGTTATCTTCAAGGCCCCTTGGGATTAGTCGAGGCGTGTGCAAGTTGGTCTGGACACCCGCCGTTACCAAAGAACAGTTTTTGCAGCACCAGCTGAAAGATTTTCTCAGCCTTAAAACCCCACAAGGCTTCCCCATGCAAGAAGCTAGCCTAGTAAATTAATGATTTAAGAACAAAATGTGTGCATGCATCAATCTAACTTGCAAAACATTTGCAACAAAAAGTTAAGGGTGGGTTGCATAGAAGTCGTATTTAGGATTGTCTTGTAAACATACCCTGTTATATTGAATCTTGCTCATATCCAATGAAGTTTGTGGAAGGCCAGGAAAACGACGTTTCAGGCTACGTAACAGGGTCTCTGCTCTTTGTGCTAAAGAACTCTTCTTATCACAATCAGCAACTAGGCCCTTAACCTTTGCACTCCACGATGAACGCTTGCGTTTTGGATGATTTAGATGCTTTTTCCGCTCTTTTAGCTTCCATGCATGGACAGCTGCCTCAACACGATTGGCTACTTCCAGAGTATGATGCTCTGATGACAAATCTAGGCAATCAAGAAGACATTCCGGAGAGAACTTGTCTGCGGTTATGTAGCGATAGATGATGTCTCCCAAACACTCTTTTCCATTCTGTACCAATATTAGATGAAGAAAAAGACAAAAGAAGAAATAAAAGTCGATTCTTGCACCACTCACATCCAAAGAACAATGCGGGGAGAAGATAATATGTCTTGTACAACCTCTTCACTTTCAGAAATACATAATGGACCAGTTTGACACTACATAATTAATAGATAATCATTCATACACATTCAACTGAGATAACATGAATTTGATTATATGGTAGGAAGGTTGTAATCTAAACCACAATTGTGTTAATCATATCCATCCTACAGAAACTATTTATAGGTATGATCTACTAATTATCATCTTTTTGCTAATCAGATAAACTGGTGCAGGACTGTTATCACCCCACGATCCCGAATAATAGTCCACATTTCCGGTTTACAGCGTTAACCGAGTCCTAGGCATCTCTAGAAATAAAATACGGTGTTAATATTTTTTATTATATTCTTATATTTCTTTAAAAAGATTGCATAGATTCATTTAAATCCATTTTTGTCAATTTACTTGCATTCACCCTTCCAATTAACTTTAAGATCAAGATTTGAGATTATTTATAATTGAAGGTTGATTTTACCGTCCATAAATCAAAAATAGCTTTCATTATCCCAATCAAAAGCAAAGGATCCGGTTAAAACTACATGATACATGCGTCTGTGATCAATTAGCCTCTTGACAAGCATGTCTGCTACTAAATTAAAGGTACATACATAGGACAAAAAGGATGACTATTGGCACCATGGCTCCTCAGTTTTGCAAGGATTGGGGAGCAAAGTCTTTGCAGTCAGCATTTTCCTTGCACTTTTCCAAGAGGTTCTGCGACAATCCCATGACTTTTTCCACTCACAAAGGAGTAACTTTACCAATTTCTCCATCAATTGCACCTCAAACTTATATAAGACACATTGGGTATAATTTAATTCACTACATATGCTAGTGTGAAACGGAGTCGGCACTGAATTCAAGCTATACTTTTCCCTGCACTTCCTTTGCTCAACAGGATCAAGAATTCTATTCCTATATGTCAGCTAGATTGTAGGTCTCTTGTGAACCAGGAAAAATGGTTATTTTCCAAGCTTTTTATTTGACTACATGCATAACTTTGTAGTAAAGGCTCTATCTATTATGCTAAATCTGCAGCACAAACAACAAAACTAGGGCAATATGATGTGACTTAATTATGAAACCATCAACTATTGGTATGCTCCTTTGAAAAGAGTTGGCTTCCTTTTACTAGAAATGTATATAATTTGCATTGCAGATCTGATTTTAATTTCAACTGTGTTCTATCTAGTAGACAGGATATAAAACCATATACAGGTGTTCCACATGTATAATATATCTACTAGACTGGATATAAAACCCTATACATCACCAAAACATGTATTCCTTTGTCCAAAAATACAGGGACCATTATTTTTGCTTGGCTCCAGATCATATGAAAAAACAAACTTTGGACATGAACATTTTCGTCTAGTAGACACCCAACCATCAAGAGGAAACTTCAATCTTAAGATAAGAAAAACATGAGTTTCCAAAATTGATACTTTGGTCTAGTTAGATGTCCTAACTCTTAAAACTTTGCAACTTGTTTTCATACATCCATAAAAAGAAAAACATATTATTTCTACAGATGTTGAAAAGAAAGTGACAATATCCCAACTAGTCAAAATATATGCATGTACATTGTTTGAGCAAATGAGACAAGGGGGATTTGATCCCATGAGCTCCTAGGTTATATATACGTGTGTGTTGAGAGAGATTTCATATAGTGTTTGAACTTTTCCATGTTCATTTTCAAATGTTAACTAAATGGTCTTCTACTTATAACAGGGTTGGTATCAAACTGAAGGCCATATAATAAGATAATTATATTACATAAACATCATTCAGTTGTGACCACCCACATGATAAAAGAACAAATTATCCATGATTCTGATCAAACTTACACAATAACTACCCGTATATCAGTATATCATGTCACTCTTACAGTCTTCTCATCCCAGTTTGAAGCAATTAAATCTATACATTAAAACTCGAGTAGGCAAGAATAATGAGTGTGGTTGTGTGAATTCAGTAAACAAAAACTTTATCCAGAACAAGACAGTGCATCTGGAAATGATGTAACAGAAAATGCTGACTAGCAACTTGGGGGGAACATTTCAATGGATGCAACACCCATATATATCCTTTCACCAATGATCATCACTATCACTACCTAACCTAACATCAATTTACACTTGAAACGCTAACACATTGCTACGTGTGCAAAGAGAAGAAGCAATATTATACTAACATCTTTTAACAGAAACTAGACCTAATGTACACTTCCCAATCATTGCCGAAATTTCCAAGCAGCACAATACGACATCCAATTTGCAAAGATGAAGGCAATACAAATAAACAAACCACGAAGTACAAATTTTTCTATTTGCCATCACAAGTTTCATTACATAATAGTTGTTCTTATTGCATTAAGTTTCGCTGGAACAGCTAACAACATATGCAACGGTTGGTCTATGTCTTAATCAAACATCTCTAGTCACTAATTGCTGATCGCCCCTTTTGAGTCAAACCTCAGCAAAAGAAAATCTGAAGTTATTAAATTTAGAATACCATGCCATAAACAACATTACAGTGTATTGACCATATGAAATTTAGATAAATTGTTGTAATGAAGGAGGAAACTGGAAAGGATAGTGAAATTATGAGGTTGAATGACTATCATTTATAGCCGAAAAGTCGCGACATGGGCGATGAAAAATTTAGCATACCACCCGTCAGGCAGAAGAGTAGAACAAGTAGAGAAAAAAGGTGGAGGGAACATTTACTAACTAAAGTGGTGGTGGTAACGTTAGACGACTAGTTTCTTATGGAAATCAAGATACACTAAGGTGTAACCACGTGATTCAATAAGTTTTTCTAAAACCTACTATCCGATAATTTTAAAACCACTCAACCAGATAAAAAACATGGGTAGAAATAGCAAACGTTTGCCAATGACAAGAATAATAGAAGATGATTCATCCATAATGAAAACATAAACAATCACTTCATATATAGCAAGTCCAAGATTTCATTGAAAAAGGCAAAACCTTGAAGAAAGAAAAGTCGATACTCGAAGCCATACCTTAGGCAATGTTTCCAAGTAGGCACTTGGGATCTCCATTTCAGCAAGCACGTTGCTATTTATTGCCAAAGCTGCCTTAAGTATCTGATTTGTGCAGTCCCTGCACTGCTGCAACTTTTTTTTGGCATCTTCCGGTAACCCCTTGGGAGGAACTTTCGGATACGGTAACCACCACTTGTCTTCCTGCCTAACTGAAGGCCTTGGAGCTGAAATGCTTGATGAATATGCATCACAACTGTAACCTTGAGCTACAACCAGCCCACGATCAACATAACAGAACTCCCTATCGCAAAACCCATCAAGCATACCGATTAACATAGCATCAAGCTTCTTCAAAGCAGGGAGATTCATATGCATATCGGACCGTGGATGTGGGACCATTACTTCATACGTGCCCCCACCAGGAAATTGTTGTATGGAAGGCACGAGCTCTACGATGGAATCACTTACAGATAAAAGCCATTCCATTTCCCTTTGCCATGTTACCTTCTTCTGCAGCGCCAATGGCTCTAACCTCCACAATTCCCCAAATACGGAGGCTATCATATTTCAGTTACATACAGATTCCAATGAGAAAATAATACATTTATCTATACACAGATAAGTAACGATAATGGTTAGCACAGTAGAACTGAAAAGTCACAAACCAGATAGATTTGTAATAGCATTTGAGATTGCTAGAGCAGTACAAACTCCTTTGCCCCCACCAGACATGTCTTCTCCAAGAAGAAGCTTAGCAAACCGTTCCTTCATCATATCGATCTCTGCAAAAGCATGAAATTTTTTTAACACAATTATTATAATATGCCCACTGACATAGGGAGGGCGTTCCTGAACCTGATATAAGTCGATATATTATATTTCAGTAAACACTTGTAAATGAAACAATTAGCTCTAACTCATAAACACAAATCTGTTGTTGGGTATAACTGTGCCCTAAATACGGAAAGATAGATATAATAATTTTTCTCAAATGATATAAAACCCTATCACCAGGTAAACCGATGTGTACCTGCAACATACAGATATACCTACTGGGAGAAACGCAAACAAAACTCTCCGTATTATGTGTGCAGTTTGATCGTCCACTAAAGCGTCGACTTTTTTTTTTTTTTTCGTTTCAATTTAAATGGAAAATCATATCAGGATCATCAATCAAAATCGTAATGCAGATACAGAAAAAAAAAATGCGGACTAACCAGATAAATCGGTATCAGGTTGTTTTCTAGGCTGCTTCTTTTCCCAAACCATCACGTCATCCTTCCCGCCAAACGGCGGGAAGGTGAACGGCGCCGGTGGGAAGATGGAATCGGTGACGGAAACTGTTCTGAAAGCAGCATGCGGAGAAGATGTCAAGGAACTGGAAGCAGCTCCGTGGTCGTCGCGACGACCAGAGAAACTGCTCGAACTTTCAGACTCGCTGACGTCAGCGCTGAGACTGTAGCTCTCATCGCAACATCGCTCAATACTACTCCTCGAGTTATTGTTATCGTTTTCTTCTTTCGATGAAGATACACTCGCAGCCATAACATAGATTCCAATTTGATGGATTGTTCAATCGATCAGAAAATTCAACTGGAACGCATTTTCAGCAAAATTAGTGATCTCAATTTAGATTTATCAGTTCACCACACTTGTACGGTTTCTGAAATTACTGATCGACGGTGGTGGTAGTGGTAGTGGTAGTGGTGGTGATGGCAGCGGCAGATGAGCAGAGGTGGTGGTGGAGGAGGACGACGAGAGGTGAAGGGGGCAGAAGATGATCTAAAGCTGCGAAAGCAGAATGAATGGTTGGTGATGTAGACAACACACGTTACTACTGCTGCAAAAATGTTCACAAGGAACCCCTGAATTACGCACAAATGACATAATAGACGTTGCTCGAGATTTGGAAATTCCAGATTTAGGTAGATTTGATCCGATCTGATCTGATCCGATCATTCATTGGATGATAAATTTCGCCATCCGAGCAAAAGTCAATTTAATCCAATGATTAATTTGACCCGATCAGTTTCATATATTTTTTTTCCCGATTAATTTGAATATCCAACCCGCTATGTGAGCCGACTAATCCATGGAAGACCACATGCTTTGCAGATAGCCCGGAGTCACCACATTTGAACATCCATGGCCACAAGGGGGCTTTTATTCCTCCTTGGATTTGAACATGGGATCTCCTGGTACTTTTGAACTTTGGAGTCAAGCTCAAACCAATCAGGCACCACCCTTGTGGTTCGGTTTCATATATTTAATATTACTATGGGTTATTCATTAAATTGCATTAGATTTATCTAATACTTTGATTCAATTTTTAATTAGGGATGGCAAAAAAAACTGAAACCGGTGGTGAAAACCGAAAACCGAAACTTTCGGGTCGGATTCGAGAACCATCTTATCGGATATGGGGCGGGGATCAGGGACAAATTCGGGGATTTTAACGGGGACGGGGGGACGGTGATCACCGACCCGGCCCTGCCCGATATGTGTGTGTGTGTGTGTGTATATATATATATATATATATATATGGTTTGGTTCACGTGAGACCAAGAGTTTTTTGTGAGGCCCGTAAGATCCATTTATGTTCACTGATCAACTTTATAAGCTAATGATTTAATGGTCTAAAGTTGCACGGTGGCAATTTTGTGATTATTGAGAAGTCTCGTGGCAATTTTGTGATTATGAATGTTCAAATTGTAGATCTAATCCAAGGGTTGAGAATTGGTCTTACGGATCTCACGAAAAACTATTGGTCTCACATGATCCCAAGTCTCTCTCTCTCTCTCTCTCTATGTATATATATATATATATATATATATATATTCTAATTTATATACATACATATATATATATATATATGTAATATCATTAAAAAAATAGTAACATTAAAATTTAAAAGACTTGTATCAACTTTATCTCAACAACTCAAATAAAACTCACGAAAAAAGTCTAGTTTATTTGTTTAAAATCGTGATTTTAGTTGTATGATGTTTGAATTTATGTTTAGTTTTATATTGTAATTTAATATGTTGTTTGTAATTAGTTCGATTATGTTTGCGACATTTAAACTTACATCTTTAAAAAAATTGTAACTTATTTTTAATTGTGAAAATTAACATATTGTAATTTTTTTCATATCAGTTTCGGTTTCAGTTATAACATACTGTGAAAACTATGATTTTTACCCTTAACGGTTTCCCAACGGGGATCGGAAAAACCGCGGGGACCCGAGGGAATCGGGGCAGTTACGGGGACGTTTTTAGTTATCGGTTTCGGAGACGGGGATACCAATACCCGACCCGTTGTAATTCCTGTTTTTAATCAATCAATGTGTCACTTCAACCAATAATCATTACAATCAGTTGTTCTTTAATTTTACAAATTTATCGCATATTAAACAGCTTCTCTATAATTTTTATAAAATAAATTACAATCAACTCCAACAGATTCTTTATTTTTATAGATTTTATCATTAATTATATTATTTAAATGTTCTATAATTTTATGATTCCAATACATTTTTTTTCAAAAATATATAAAATGATATTAATTCAATATTTATTGTTGGGATGAATAAAAAAACTCATTTCTCTCACTTTTATTTGGATTTTTAGATAATTCTCTATATTTGGAGTTTTCTTTATGATTTTCTATTTATATAATGAGATAGAAAAGTTGTTGTAGTATTATAGTAAAAATTTGATTTTATCTATTATAGAGAAGTTGTTGGAGATGCTCTTAATAACAAACATTACATACACATATCAGTAAAAGATAATATCATAAAATATATTTAAAATATATATGTAATTTGATGGTCAATGAATTGTAATTGAATTGGATCGGTTGGTTTTATACTTTTATCGGATTATGGGTTGTCATCCAATAATAGACCAATCCAATTTGAATGTTGCAAACTTTAGATCTGATATGTATCCAATTATAGTTGGTCGGCTTTAAATATATCAATCGGTTTTAAGCGGATCAAATGACTTCATGCACGCCCCTACTTAAGATGCAATCATGCAAATGATCTGGTCCAAAAATGTTGATCAAAGCCCTAAGAAAGTGAAATCGAATATAATTGATTGAATTTTTATTGTTTGAATTACTGGATAGCAAACTCATGGTTGAAAATCAGCTCATCCATGTACGGTGAAAAAAAACAAGTACATATGACTGATCTTCAAACTCCAGTAATATTGCATAAAAACCAGTATCTTATAAATGTAAGTTGGCAACCATTGAAATGTAGATTAGCACATAGATTTTTGAGTAATATGTTTGAAACATGCACTTTATATGAATCTTGAATATATTTGTATACTGATCGTTTATAAGATTTTATAATATGTTATAATGAATCATTTATAACATGTTACGCAAATATTTAGATGTTCTGCATAAGTGGTATGTGTCATACATAAAATTTGGAATTGATCAAGTCAAATACATGAATGGGCTCATTTTACTTACGACTTTGTATCTGTTTTTTTTTTTAATAACAACTTCTGATTGACAGATTTAAGATTTAAAAATAATGAATATAAAACAACTTATAAATAAACGATAAATAAAACAATCAAGTAAGGGTACAAGGACATTCTTGTAAATTCCATCCCAAAAAAAGGCACTTGTAAAGTTGTAATTTCCATTTTTCTTTTTTAATATAGGTGATTTAAATTGAAAGTCAAATTAGCAACCTGAATACAAAATCAAGTTAAACTTGTATTTAAAACAGTATTAAGAAACCGAGTTTATCATACCGATATTTATCTGATTTATAAAAAAATGTATTATGGTTACATGCTTTTATTTAACCACGATGAGGGGCACCCCTTGCCATCTCTGGTACCTCTGTCATCGAATTCAATCATATGTTTTAATCATAACTTTTCAGTTTTACAGATCATCAAAAACTATTAAATGGTAATTTTATCAAACTACTTTCTTACAATTGGAATTGTTTTCATGGTGGAAACTACATTGACTCGTTACAAAACTGTATTTAAAATTCTAGCCGGTTGACATCAATGAATGGACAACGATTTGTAAGATGAATTGACATTGAGTAGGAACATAAATCACAAAGAAAATAATAAAATAAAAACGAGAGAAAAATTAGTAAAAAGTTGTCTTTGGAGTAACAGTAGTTATGTTAATAGCTGTATCTAAGGTTGTGAATTCGATACTTGTAGCTGTATATTTCGTGTTACTATTTGGGCTGATTTCGAGCCGAAATTAAAAGATGAAAAATTAAGGTTTCGTTAAAAATAAGATTCAAACCGTCGACCTCTTATATGTCACGGTTTAATACATGTGTTTGATTTTTATTCTCATTTTTGCTTCAAAATACCGAAGGGTATCTTTTAAAATCAAATGGTTATATTTTTTACGAGACTATTTTCTAGGGGCGAGCAGCGGAACCGGGTACCCGGATATGGAACCGGAACCGCCTTGGAACCGCCGGTTCCGGAACCGGAACCGATATGAGTGGTTCCGGTTCCGGTTCCTAAAATACGGAACCGATTGAGAATGATTCCGGTTCCGGTTCTCAATTTTTCGGAACCGTTACCCGTCAGGTACCCAGTATTTGTCAATAAAAAAATAATTATTATTTTCTAATACCAAATTTATATTAGGTTTACATCTTGAAAGCACGCGCCATCTTCATTCTTCATCTATATTTTTCATATAGAATGATTCGTATTTCTTCAAATTGTGTGTTCATTTGGATTCATAATATGTAATCGTTAAACTTTGAATATTTACTATTATAGTATGTAATCGTTAAACTTTGAACATTTTCTATCAGTCTATTATGATTTGTAATCGTTAAACAATATTTGTAACCGTTATTCTGTATAATTTGTATTCTTGCTTATTTATTTAGTGTTTTGACAATGTTTTATTTTTTATTTCTAAATAACAAAATTTTAATATTTTAGGAAGCGGGTACCCGGAACCGGAACCGGTTCCCGGCGGTTCCGGTTCCGGTTCCAAAAATTTAAGAACCGCTCTAACCGGTTCCGGTTCCGATTCCAATATCTCAAAAACCACCGGTTCCGGTTCCCTTCAAAAAAGGCACGTATCCACCTATCCTCACCCCTACTATTTTCTGTTACAATAGTGGTGTAAATGATAGTACAAGATCCTCCTCAATTCTTAATAGGTCCGCATGGATTATCATGATGACTTTGACATAAATAATTGAAAAAGTATTATTCAAAATGTTTGTTTGCTTTAGGATGAATAAGTAGTTAATAATTTAATTTAATTGATAATATGAAGATGTAGTTTGGACTATCAATATATTAATAATGATTTTATGAAAATATTTATAAATTTATTTTTTATAATCAAATGATATAAAAAAATAAATTATTTACATATAATTTTATATTTTTTAATTATATAATACTACAAAGCCATTAAATCTTTTAGAGATTGTTTGTTTACTTCTTAATAGTTATTATTAAGAGGTAAAGGTTGTTTGGTAGTTGTTAAATGGTTTGGTATAGAATAATTAAGTAATCAGAATGATTAAAAGACTCTTATGATATAGTGCAAAATGAAATATAATTGTTTGATAATTGTTTACAATAAATTAAGGCGCTTAATGGTAAGGGAGACATATGATACAAAAATCATTCAGAGGGTTTTAAAACCAATAAAAGACAAACTTTTTTTGCCAAACAAAATT